GGGTTCTGCCTCTCTAAGTAAACAGCAGTGACTTGGGAGGGCGAGGAATTTCAGGGCAAGTTTGGGATGGGCTGTGTACTTTCTCTGGGAGCAAGCGAGGGAGCAGAGTGGCCTGGGAGGTGGCTCTTGTGTTCGGGGGGAACATCCTGCATGGGTGACAGGGACGTTGGAGAGCTAAACCTCAACCACTGTGGGCACCCTGAAAAAGTCCCCCAGCTCAAGGACGACCTCAAGAGGCGTCAAAAAACCCAAACTGAGCCACTCTTTCCTCCCTGGTGCCGAGTGCTCCCCTCCCCCCCGCCCCCCACCGAGTGCTCCCCTCCCCCCCGCCCCCCACTTTGGTCGTGGCATCCGTGCTCCTCAGGTCTCGTCCCTCCTCCCTCAGGCCCAGCGCACGGGGCCTGGCCTATAACATCCTTGCTCCTTTCTTCTCCTCCACCTAACCATGCTGGCCCCTGTCACCTCTGTCCAGGAAGGATGCAATCTGACAGGTGCCCCTGCCTCCCGCCTGGCCAGAGTCTCCTTCCCGTGCCCCAACCCCCTCCCTCCCCCCAGAGCAGTGGTTCTCACAGTGGGTACCAAAGAGCCACCCTCAGCTCTTCACAGACATATCCCCAGGTGGATGCTCGGAGATTCTGGTTTCCTGGGGCCCAGGAATCTGCACTTATCACAAGAACCCCGGGGGTTCTGACATAGTGGCACCCTGAGAAACACTCCGATGGCACAGGCGACCTTCCACAGCCTGGCCCGCCTTCCCCCACCCCTGTGGGTCCTCCTGTGCCATAGCCGCCTTTAGAAAACCACAAAATACCCCACCCCATGAAGTCTTCCTGAATCACCTCTTTTAAATGCCCCCCCTTCACCTCCCACCCTTCTTGCCCCCAGGCCCCACACCTCACTCCCTCCCCATGGCTCTGCTGTGTGTCTGCAGTCCCCACTAGCCCATGAGCTCTGCCAGAGACTCTGTCTTGCTCTTCTCTGCATCTCCAGGCTCTAGCACGGCTCCAGACACCCTCTTCCGACTGGGGGGGCTGAATGCTGTGCGTGAAGAGCAGCAGTGGTGCGCTGCCCTGATGCTCCCCTACCTTCTCCTGGGCCCGTGGTGACGTTGGCTTCGATCTCAGGGCCGTAGGTGAAGGTCTTGGCTCTGATGCGGAATCTGTAGGTCATGCCCTCTGCCAGGTCCTTCACCTTCAGCCACAGAGGGCTGTTCCCCTTCACATCCACTGTCACAATCTTACTGACTCCTGGGGAGAAAGCACAGCGTGTGGAGACTGTGGGGCAGGCAAAGGCCATGGGGGAGGAGAGCGCAGACACCGGCTGGGGCCAAAGCCCCTTGAAATCCGGCTGTACGGGCACCCTTGGCCACACAGCAATGTTCCTCAGATTGTTTCTCAGAACACAGTCCTGCAGGCTGTACTCAGGAAAAAGGGCTCCTCGGTTAAATAAGTTTGAGAAAAGCTGCATCCTGTCTGTCTGTCTATTCAATAACCACAGGACCCTTTAGCATCTGGAGGAAAAAACAACTCACCATCTTGTTTAACTTAACCATGGTACCCCAAACATACCCCCAAGTTTTTGATCCCCCACGTCACATCCCACAGAACTTGAAATCCAAGAATCATCTTTCAGGAAGTGCTTCTGTAAAGACAGCACAGTCCAGAGCTGGGGGGACACACCTGCAGGCAGTCCCTACAGCCGAGGACAACCTCAGCTCGCCTGGGCTTCCCTCCTTCCTCCAGTGCTGGCAAGAACCGGGGACCCACACCGTGCCCTCCATCAACTGCGCCCCAAATCATGACAGCTAGAGGGAGGGCTGCGATGGTTTCCAGGGGTGGGAGTTTGTGCTCTGTGCTTCACAAGCCAAAGTCCTCCCGTCCGCCAGCCTCGCCGAGGGCCGGGACTGGGTTTCATCTCCCACGTCCGCCGAGCACGCTGGCCACCGCTGGGAGACGGCTCTGCAGCCCGCGGGCTGGGCTCAGACCCCAGCACTGGCCCTGGGAGTCTTCACACATGTCCCCTCTTCTGGCTTCGGTTTGCTCTCCTACTGCATGAAGGTATCAACAGCATCTCAGACAGGATGGCATGAGGTTAAATAAAGTAACAGAGGCCCTGGCACGTGGTAGGTGCCTGATATATTTATTGAATGAACGAAGTCCTGAATGACAGAGCAATGGGTGCTCAAGAGGCCCTTCCGTAAGGAATGAAGTGACCTGTGAGGTGACGTGGGGATGGGCCTCAGGACCTGGAACAGCAGCTCTGGGGTACCTGCTTCTCGACATTTCTGAGCAAACCCCTCATCTGCCTGGGCCTTGGTTTCCCTACAGGAAAGGGGGGTCGCTGGATTCTGGGGAGGCCTGTTTGCTGTGGACCTGAACCAGGGCCGAGGCATGAAGCGGGGGTGCAGGTGCTGTGCTGGCCAGGCTGGGCATCGTCTAGACGCACCCAGAGTTGATGGTCCTATTAGCTCAGTTACCACAGGGGGGACGGGAATACCTGAGGGCGTGGAGTCAGCCCTGTGGTCCAGACCCTGCTGGACTGAGGAACCAGAAGGCAAAGAGCTCACACCTCTCCAGGTGTGGGGGCTCCCCGGGCAGGCCAGGCAGAGGCCACTGTGATGAGAGCCTATCCCCTCCCCCTGCATCTCATCCCTGTAACCTCTGTCCTCTCCTTTCTGTCCCCAGGAGAGATGGCCCTTTCCTGGGTCCTGCACCTGACCAGCTCTCCTGGGCCTGGCTCCCCCTCGGTGTTCTAGCAAACGGTGCTGCTTTGCAGAACGAGCAAGCTGCAGAACGCCACGCAGGTGGTGGCGGGGAAGACTGAGGGCCATTGTTCCCTCTGCTGACCCAGAACTGCTGGCCACTGTGGCGTTTCCAGGACTCCGCCCCTTGTTCTGGGCAGGGTCTGCTGTCAGGGAGGGGTGAGAGTGAGGGCATGACCCCAGAGGCAGTCACCTCTCGCCACCAGGGCGCCACCTGGTAGGCCAGCCACACCCCCAAGGCCTTGCTGGGTTCTGCCTCTCTAAGTAAACAGCAGTGACTTGTGGGCTCACCCCCAACAGCCATGGTGGGCAGCCCCCTGCAGGAGCCTACAAGTGGGGCAAGGTCCCAGCCAGGGCCTGGAGGAAGGGCCGCAGGCAGGGCTCTCAGATGAGCAGGGCTCAGGGTGAGAGGGAGACAACTTGCAGAACAAGTCCTTGATCTGAGGTTCACAGAGGGCAACGGGGGGCAGTGACCCCCAGCCTTGTTCATCTTTCTGGGGAGAGGCTCCAAGGCTTCTGCCAGATTCTCAAAGGAGTTCTTGATCCCACAAAAGGGAAAGAAGGCTGAACCCGGAGTAAGGCTGCGACCCTAAGGGTGGGGGGCACGCACAGGACGGGACCATCAGGGGCGCCCCATCTTCATGGTCCTGGCAGAGACCCATCCACCTTGGGGCGCTATGACTTGCTCAGGTTTCCCTTAAGCTCCTCCTATCTTCCATTGACGATGACGGACGGGGAAGAATAAATGACCAATTCTCTCCCGGGAGTTAGGAGACCTAGGCTGCTGTTCCCACTCTGCCCCAATCTGCTGCTGTTTCTCCTTGGCAAAGCCCCTTCCCCTGTCTGGGCCTCAGTTTCCCCGTTTATACACCACGGAGACGCTCGCCGCCTAGACTCTGTGTAGTGACGGCAGAGGGGACCCTGGATGAGGGAGAGCCCTTGCGAAGGGTGGGTTTAGGGAGCCATGCCGGGAGGGCCCCACTCACCATCCACCGGGGTGCAGGGCTCGTACACCAGCCGGTAGCCCTCCAGGACGCCGTTGGGGAACCGCGGGGCCTCCCAGGACACGTTCACAGAGGTTGTGGTCAGCTCGCTGAACTTGACCGAGCTGGGGGCGCTGGGGGCTGTGGGGAGACAGCACAGGGTTGTCGTTTCCCCTTCTGTGGACGTTCAAAGCCCTGCATTTGGCTCTGAGGAACGAGCAGGGGCATTTGGGTCTGAGCCCTGGAAGAACAGGAGAGCAGGGCTCCGTGCAAGAGAGAGCAGGAGGGGTCAGCAGAGGTCATCGGACCCTCCTGCCCCCCACTGATGTCACGAGCACTCACTTTTCAATAACAGAGTCCAATAACTGGGAGGAAAGGGGACTTTCTTTGCCCTAAAGTTGGAGAACGCAGGCTTCTTCCTGCTTGCTGGCTCTGAGCCCTGGCTAGGAGTGCGGGACATGCCGTGTTGCACCCCAGGGTCACTGCGGGGCCAGGCAAGGTCTTGGCTTCGTGGGGCTTGTCTTTCGACTTCCCTGGTGGAGGAGGGGGTGGGGAGGGGCCAGGCCTCAGAACACTAGGTGGGCACTGAACAAGAAGATGCCAGAACTGCAGTGGACGTGGCCGTTCTCTCGTCCCCAGGGCCCTGGGGCTTGCTGCGGAGGGACTACGCTGTCAGGAGCAGCCAGAGCCAGGGACAGCAAACCCTCTGGAAGAGATGCTTTCTTGGCCTGAGAACCCTGGAGCATCCCCGAAAACATGGGGGGAGGTGTCTGAGGGGGAGGACAGAGAGGAAGGGAGGAAGCGTCAACTCGGCAGCATCCTGAGCTGGCTCCAGGCGGGATGACCAGGCTATTCTTGTCCTCTTGTCCGGTGCCGCCCCCCCACGGAGCCGGAGCTAATCCGGACCCTGCTTCCGCTCCAGCTCCGGGAGGCGGCGTCAGGGAGCCGTCTTTGAAGGAGGGAGGCAAGCTCAGGGGGCCTTTCCTGCCTCCCCTTGGCTAGAGGGACGTGGGACAGAACACTTTGTCCTGCTGACGGAAGCTTCCAGGCTCCCAGGGGCTCACATATGGCTGATGACATTGACAGAGTGGTTGGGATAGGCAGACAGACAGACCAGACCCTTGGGAGCCAGGGGACGGAAAGGATTTCCCTGGAGCCAGAGCTTGTCCCCAAAGAAGACAGTACTTAGGAACAGACTGCACGGGTCTTGCTCTCTCTTTAAAAGAAAAAGTAATTGACACAATGGGAGGCAGCGGAAAAGATGCTCAAGGGAGGCCAGGACCAAAGGCTTGTATTCAAATCCACGGGAGAGGACTCGATGGCAGCAAAGGGGGGACTGGTGCAGCGAAGACAGCCCAGAACAAGCTCGGGTATCCTGGGCTCCGGCCTCTGCTCCCCCACTGACTGGCTGCGGGGCCCTGGGCAAGAAGGCCACCCCTGCCCATCATGAAGTGGGGGTAAAGCCTGCCCAGCCCATCCCCAGGGCTTCCGGAAGGATCAAGAGTAATACTGCCTGAGAAGTGGCTTTGAGAGAGCTGGCTTTGCACGTGTGGGCAGCAGGATTCTTACCACCACCTTCTCCTCTGCCCCGCCCCGCCCCGCCATCCTCACTGGCCTCCCTGCCTCCATCCTCTCCCCTCCATCAGTCTGTCTTCTGTACAGCAGCCAGAGCTATCTTTTAAACATAAACCAGATCCTGTTGCCCAACTGCCTAAACCCACCAACGGCTTCCCATCACACTCAGAATCAATCCCAAACTTCCTTCCAAGGCCCCCGGACCCCCTAGGACCTCTCACCCGTTTTCTTGTGAGCCACCTAGCTTTTTCTCTGTTCCTCTAATCCCCTCCAGCCTCCAGGCCTTTGCACCTGCTGTTCCCTCGGCCCGGAACACTCCTCCTCCAGAACTTCCCACGACTGGTCTCTTCTTGTCACTCAAATCTCAGCTCAGATGTCAGCCCCTCAGCGAGGCCTCTGCAGGCAAGACTATCCACAGCCATCCGTCCGCCTCCTACCTCCGTCCTGAGATTGCTCCCACTCACGGCCATCTGAGGTTACTTCATCTAGACACTGTTCATCATGTGTCTCCCTCCCTAGGGTGGGGGCCTTGCCAGACTCCCTCACTGCCCTGTTCCCAGCCTCTGGCACAGTGTGGGCCCACAGAAGAGGCTCAATAAACACTCGTGGAATGAACAAAGGGGAGATGTAAGAAAGCCAGGTGGGAGCAAGGCAGAGAGCAGAAGTGGGCCGGTGGGGGGTGGACTGGCCATTGGCAAGGTGGGCTACCCGGGGCAAGATGGGGGGAGGACGAGCGAGATCTGGGGGCTCTCCCCAAGGCCTTATGGGGATAGCTTCTCTCTTTTGAGCACTCACATGCAGGCCCCTCTTTGTGGGCTGTGCCCTCCCACTGTGGAGGGCGTCCCACGGGGCCTGGGGACCAGCCCTGATCTCTCAGCGGCTGGGATGAGGCAGCTGCTTCTACTCCCCGCAGGAGCCAGCGCCAGGTGGGCCTCCTCCACACTCTGGGGACCTGCCCCTCCCCCTCCCCCCAGCCGCTCTCCCCACCTGCTTGCTGGGTCTGGGCCCGGGTTGGGGCGCTCCGGGGCCCATCCCCCGCCGCGTTGAAGGCTGCCACGCTGACCATGTAGGCTGTGTAGCCAGTCAGGTTCTTGAGCTTCACCCCGTTCTCGGCCAGAAAAAGGGTCTTCACCCGCTCCGTGACGTTCTGCAGCTGGGCTTCCCAGAAATAAATCTGTGGGCACAGACAATTGCGGGAGTGAGGGGGACAGCCAGCCAGCCTCCCTCCTGCCCTGCCTGCCCCAGGGTCTCAGAGACACCTTCATTCATACCATCCACACAACTGGACGGGAGATGTGAGTTACCTGGGATATAGTGTAGAAGGAGTTAAGAGCTATTTTAGAAACCCTTCCAGAACCTTCCTTTTCACAGCTAATACTCCAGTCTCTGCTAGACTGTGAACCCCACAAGGGCACAAACCCCTTGTATCTGCAGTGCCTGTAGGATTAAGCATAGCACTTAATTCTTAATTCTGAGGCACATCAGCCTCAGAACATAGTTACCAGAGGAATAAACCAATCTTGTTCTGCAAAAAGGTGAGATGTGGAGATAAATGCAGTGTCGAGTCCACCTCCACGAAGAGAGGGGAGCAAGGACCAGGCCATCAGCGTCAGCTGGGAGCTGGCTGGCGACGCAGAGGGTCAGGCCCACCCCGGGCCTGCTGCGTCAGCATTTGAAGGTTGACAAGGCCCCCGGTGAGTCACCCGCACATGACAGTTGGGGAAGCCTGTTGCAGAGGACGGCCAGGGCGATGACAGCAGGCCTGCCTGGGCTGAACCCCAGTGCCACTTACTAACGGTGCGACTTGGCCAGGTGACTTCCCTGAGCCGCAGTTTTGTCGTCTGTATAGTGGGGTTAAGGACACCTACATCTCAGGACCAAGGTGGGGAGCAGAGGTCGTAAGGAGTAAAGAGTGAAGACACCACATGGCAGCAGCAGGTTTAGGCCAGCAGCACGCAGGTGCTCCACAGTGCTTCCCATTACTTCACTGGCAGCGGAGAAGAACGCTCGTAGCCAGGGAAGCAGGCAAGTCCTCACTGTGTGAGCTCTCCAAACTGAGCTCCAGGAGCGGCAAGCCCCAGCCGCGTGCAGGATTAGAGAGCATTTGGCGCCACCTGCTGGCAGAAGTGGTTTCTGCATGCCATTGGCTTAATTTCTCAGTCTGCCTGCAGGAAGCTCATAAAAATGAGAAAGAGCTAATAAAACTGCCCCTGCCTGGCACATGCAAACGGTGGTTAGGACATCTCGTTACCAGGAAATCCTTGCTTTTTTCTAACCCCCCCTTTTTTTACAGAGTCTTCTGATATGGGTAGATGAGCGAGAGTTGAGGGAGTCATTTATTAAGTCCCTCATTCATTCACTCCGTCCATTCAAGAGTAACGGGGACACGACAGCAGACAACGTTCCCGCTGAGTTTGACGTGCAGGGGAAAGGTCAAGGCAAACGCTAAAATCTGGGTGTTATCAGCACACAGATAGTGTTTGGGGAGCACATCCAAAGAGAATTAACGTCGAGAGAGAAGAGTGAGTCCTGGGGCCTGGGTGTTTAGGGGTTGGGGAGAGGAGTTGGAACAGCAAGGAGAGAGGAGGAACAGGCAGCGCAGGAAGCCGAGAGAAGAAAGCATTCGTTGGAGGAGGGAGCGATCCGCTCGTCAGATGCTGGTGCTAAGCCAGGTAGGCTGAGACCCTCTGGACAACACGGGAATTACATGGCCTGGACAGGAAGAGCTTTGGGGAGGGCGGGGGGGAGGTGGAAACCTACTTGGAATGGGTTCAAGAGAGACTGGGAAGAGGGGGCAGGTGCAGAAGATTCTTCTGAGGATTTCTGCTGTAAAGGGACCAACCAGAGACATGGGTGACAGCTGGAAGAAAACATGAGGTCAGGAAAAGCATCCAAAAGATGAACCGTATGTCAGGATGCTCTTATGCCTGCCCATGGAGAGAGGAAAGCGATGATGTAGGAGACAGGGGCAATGGCTGGGGTCATGTTCGTGGGCAGGGGGAGGACTGGGGTCCAAGACCCAGGGCCATTATACACACATAAACGGGGCACCCTCAGCAGGTGGGTCTTACGTGTGTGCACAGAATTCAGCAGACCTGCGTGAGATGATGAGGAACTGACACCTGTGCAAATGGCACAAGGGGCTGAACCCTGACCCCGGTCCCCAAGGGGCACATGGCTGAGCTGCAGCCAGGCCGCCGGGTACCAGTGTCTGCTGGAGTGCACACCCCACAGAGGGCCCACATCTTGGCCGATTGGGCTCCCTTGTGTCTCAAGCACCTAGAGTCATGCCTGGCACACCACTGGTACTCAATAAATGTTAGCTGATGAACAAATGCCGTACACAGAGCAGGCGCAGGAGTGAATCGTTATGTCACCATCTTCCCTCTACTGGTCTCAATTCCCTGCCCTTTCTGGCTTCATCATACACAATAGCCTGAACTTCAGCCCCGGTTAAATCAGGTCCACACGCCACACAGCTGACTGTGGCTGGAGGAAAGCCACACTTGCAATTCATGAGCACAGCCCTGAGTGGGCCAGCCCCCTGCTACCCTGCCCTGGTCCATGTGCTGCACGGCTTCATGCATTTCTCCCCCGTCTCCCCTCCCTCCCCACCCTCACTCCTAGCCGGGGACCCTTCACTGAGAAACAAGCAATCAGACTTCCACAAGCTCCCTCGGCCACCTGTACCACCTCCTGCCCCAGTGTCTGTACCTGCTCCTCCCTCCTGCCACCACGGCGGAGCTGCCGGCTCCCTTCTAAGGCGACCCCACATTCGTGCACTAAATCCCAGCCTCTCTCACCTCCTCCAGGACATCACCCCAGCACAGCTTCCTCTCTTCCCCGAATCACCAGATGTTTCCTCTCTCCAGGATCATTTCTATCAGCACACCCAAAGATGTTATTTCTCCTGTCTGAACACGCCCTCTGTTGACTGGCTTTTTCCAGCTTCTACCCCATTTAGTTACTTCCCTTTAAAGCAAAACTCCTCAAAAGGGATATCAGAACTTGCTGCCTCCCCTCGTTCTCTTTTTTTTTTTTTTTTTAATTTTTCCCCCAAAGCCCCAGTAGATAGTTGTATGTCATAGTTGCACATCCTTCTAGTTGCTGTATGTGGGATGTGGCCTCAGCATGGCCGGAGAAGTGGTGCGTCAGTGCGAGCCCGGGATCCGAACCTGGGCCGCCAGCATCAGAGCACACGCACTTAACCGCTAAGCCACGGGGCCGGCCCTCCCCTCATTCTCTCTTGAACCCACTCCAAGCAGGCATCCCCTGCCCCCAACTCTTGTCAGAGTCACCTGTGAACTCGACCTGGTTAATGCAATAATCCAGGGCATGGCAGACTCTTTCTTTCTTTCTTTCTTTCTTTCTTTTTTTTTGGTGAGAAAGATTGGCCCTGAGCTAACATCTGTGCCAATCTTCCCCTATTTTTTATGTGGGATGCCACCGCAGCATGGCTTGATGAAGGGTGTGTAAGTCTGTGCCCTGGATCCGAACCCCCAAACCCTGGGCTACCGAAGTGGAGCGTGCGAACTTAACCACTAGGCCACTGGGCCAGCCCCAGGCAAACTCTATCTGTAAAGGGCCAGGTAACAAATATTTCAAGCTCTGCAGACCACATGATCTCTGTTGCAACTATTCAACTCTACCACTGAAACTTGAAAGTAGCCACGGGCAATTTGTAAACAAATGAGTGTGGCTGTGTTCCAATAAAACTTTACTCACAAAAACAAATGGAGGGCCAGATCTGGCCCATGGGCTGTAGTCTGCCAAATCCCTAAGTAAGTGCTTCCTAGATTTCATTTTGTTTGAGCTCTCAGTAACGGTTAGCACATCTGATTCCTCCCTCCTTCTGGAAGCACATTCTTCATGTGGGTTCTGAGACTTCACTCACTTTTTTGGTTCCAGGGCTCAGTTTTCAGACTTCTTGTGTTCTCTACCTGTACATGTCTAATCTCCTGGCTTTCAGCACCATTTGTATGCTGAGGACTCCATGGTTCATGTGGCCAGCTTAGACCCTCTCTCGAGCTCCAGACCTGTACATCCAGTTCCATTCGGTCCCTTCCTGTGGAGGTCCAACAGGAACCTTGAACTGACTCCAGCTCTCCCCCAAGCCTCCTCCTTCCACCATCTTCTGTCTTTTCCTGCTCTGTAACTGGAAGCTCCATCACCCAATTGCTCAGAAATCCTTGTCACTGCTCTTTCTGTCACACGCCACATTTAACTCATTAGCAAACTCTCCCAGCTCTACCCTTCAAATGGAACTGAGAGCAAATGCTTCTCACCGCTGCCACCCCTGGGCTAAGCTGCCACCAGGTCTCACCTGATTACTCAGTCACCTCTGTGTGGTTTTGTGCTTTCCCCATTTCAGACCACTCCCAGCACAGCATCCAGCACAACCCTTTAAAAACCCAAGTCACCCATGTCCCTCCTGTGCTCCAAACCCTCTGCCCCAAACCCTTCATTTTGTACATGTTGGTTTTCCCGCCCTACAATTTAAGCTCATGTTGTCTCTCTGCTCGCTGCTTTATTCTCCGCACAGAGAACACCGCTGGCACAAAATAACTGCTCAACAAACACACATCAATGAAAGACTGTGGCTGTGTGGATGTGCCCGCCCGTGCACCTGTCACAGCTCAGTCTGACCCAAGTGCGGTTCATTTCAGCTGTGTTCATCGGCTGGTGATGTCAATACATCATTAATGTCAATGTTCATGAATGTGGATCTTCATCCACGTCCGGGAGGCGGCAATTCCCTTTCCCAGCTAATGTCCACAGTCGCGATGTTTCCTGGAGCATGCCCACGCCTGCTGTGTGATATATACGGTGTTTGTGCGCCCACACATTTTCTGGTCTGTATGTTAACTGGAGACGTCCACACCTCAACAGTCTGGTGGCTGCCAAACTGTTGCAGGCTCTGCTCCGGCTCCTTTGTCTCCCCATGGGAAGCATATGCTAGCGGTGCAATATTTAGTTTCCCCAGCTGGCACTCCTGGGTGAGGACTCAAGGGGCGCCATCCGTCTTTAGAGCTTCCCTGGCAAGATGCCTTTCCTCTTCTCTCCCGCCTCCTCCACCCAGATGGAGAGACTCCTATACTGCATTCTGTCTTAAACGGACGGGGCTGCTTGTGCTGACAAGCCGTGTGACGCGGACAAGCCCCTGACCTGTGCTGAGACGTGGTTCTCCCCGTGCAGCGAGGGGCTGAGCCAGGTAAACCAGGAGCCCCTTGTGGCTCTCACACTCCCCACCCGCCACTGCCCTGGCTGCTCCCTGGAATAACAGCCCCCAGGACTCAGAGGGGCTCTGGGCCCTGGGACAGGCGGCAGCCTCAAACACGGCCAAGGGCTGTGTCCCAATGCCTCCAGCCAAGGAGACACATCACTATTATTGTTACTTTACCGCCTCCCCTAGTGGGTGCGTGCTCAGTGTATCCTCTCCCCCTCGCAGGGTGAGGGCCGGCAGACCTGGAGTCTGACTCTCTGCCACATGCTTTTTCTTATGACCTCGCCAGACCACTTAGGCTGGGTCTCAGTTTCTTTACCTATACGATGGGCACAAACTGATAATCGACCAGCTTTAGAGGGCTTTCCAGAGGATTCAGGAGTTCTAAAGGGCTCTGCGAATATTAGAGACAAACGGAATCCTGTCGTAACACATGACATCATCTAAAATCTAGAAATAATTTTAAACAGAGATTTTCAAGTCCTAGCCAGTGGTCCTTTGCTAACTGACCATCCAATTAGCATCAATATTGTAATTAGGGTTGGCCAAACGACCACTTTGAGGGGTCTTCCGTTGGCACTAGGAGTTGGTGGGCTGGGGTGGGGCCGTGTGCCGCCCGGAGTTGACACAAGCTGAGGCTCAGCCTGTTTTCCACGTCTGAGCTCAGCCCGTGCCTAGGCTGCTGCAGAGGAAGCGTGGAGCTTTGCTCCAGGTGCACAACATTTCCGTGGATTGGGTGCGAACAGCCAAAGGAGCAGGCGCAGACCCGGGGACCTCACCCAACCACCACCCACGGGTCCCTCCCAACCCCCCGCTTGGCCCTTTGCCCCTCTGGACGTTTGTCTCTGCTGGAGCGCCCCGTACCTTGTAGCCCTGGATGTCTCCATTCTGGCTCTCCAGCGGGGGTGGCTCCCACGTCACGTCCAGCTGGGTGGCCGTGGTGCTGTGGACGGCCACATTGCGGGGCGCTGCCGTGGGCACTAGAGGGCGTGAGGGGTTGTGAGTGTGAGGCGCGAGTGGACTCCGGGGAGGAGGCGGTGGGCGGGGCAGGTTGGGACCCCAATCCCGTATCTCCTCAAGCTGGGCTTCTCGGGGTGGGAAAGGCGTGCTGGGGCTGGAAAGGCAGGCACGCTCACCTGCCTCCCCCACAAAGACCTCCTGCGGGGGGCTCAAGGGCCCCTCGCCCACGGCGTTGTACACGCTCATCCGTATCTCATATCGCCGGTGCTTGTTCAGGTCTGTGGGGTGAGAGCGAGGGAGGGAGAAACACACAGAGGTCACGTCCCTGCAGAGGACAGAGCCAATGTGGAGGGTGGAGGCTATGGGGGAGGGATGATGCACCACTGCGAGTCTAGTCCCTCGTGAGAAGGTTCAGGAAAGAACAGGTGAGAGGTGGGGCAGGGGGTGGGGTGCTCCACTTCCTCCCTGGGAATCTGGACACAGGATGACTCGGGCTGGCTTCCTGGCCAAGGCTGACCATACGGGACACTTGAGAGATGGAAAGTGGCACTACCAATATTTATGCTGGACAACCAGTGTGAACTGAAATTGTCCTGGGCACACGGGGTCACAGGTCACTCCTTCCCCACACGGCAGATGCTTGAAGTTCCCAGGTCCACTGCCCGGGCCCCATCAACCAGCTCTTGACACAGGGCTCAGCCCTGAGGGAAGCAGCTTACTGGGTGGGAATCTGGGCTAAGAAACCCTGCGTTTCTGCCGAGTCTGGGGTGCTTGGGTGGAGATGCCTGGACAGGAGCTGGGAGAGGAGCAGCTGCAGGAAGACGGGCTCTGACACCTGGGTGGGGGACACTGTCCCTCCAGTATGGGGGGGCTGAAAGGCTCTCCCGCCCCCTCTCTGCGCTCCCCTCCCCATCTCCCCCTCCCGGGTGGAAGTCTCACGCTTCACCTGGAACGTGTGTGGGGGAGGCACCCTAATTAAACCGGCCACACAGCCTGTGTGGGCCATTGGTTGAGGAGGGAAGGAGGACAATTCAGTCTCAAAGTCGAGCTGCTTCCTACCAAGCATGAAGTGTCCTTGCCCGAAGCTCTGGGCCTTAGGGAGAAGCATGGCTGGGACTTTAGAAACAGGGCAAGGGTTCGGGGCAGGCATCCAATGGGAACATTTCCCAGTCCCTGGAGGGAAGATGGGGCTCTGCTAACTCCAGGGTGGCGAGGGGTGGCTCGGCCTGGAAGACTGAGCTGTGCCGAAAAGTGCCTTTGACGGGCTGAGACAGAGTGGTGGTGATGGGGACGCCTGCCCATCCAACCAGCGGGACCAGCAGCTCCCCCCGTGGACACCTGTCGTCATCCCCTGACTCCTGGAGCACGAGCTCATAGCCGTTTTCTTTTCCATCTCACACTTGATGGATGAGGGGCTGGAGGAGACCTTCCCTGGTGACCCCTTACTTTTTTGTGTGTTTTGGGAAAGTCACGTGTGCTGAGTGGTCCCACTCTTCAAGCAGCCTGAGGTGGACGCACCACTCAGCCCGTGGTCAGGCATCCTCAGAGGCCCCACTCCCCGTCCCTGTGGAAGGCGTGGCCTGATTTGGGGCCGCCATGCAAGGAGACTTACTGTCCAGCTCGTAGTGCGTGAGGCTGGGCCGGCTCAGGTTCCGCATGGAGTACATGGCTATGGGGTGGGGGGCGGAGGGGGCCAGAGGGAGACAGCAGACAGAGGAGGTTAGTATACACACCCCTGCTCCACAGAGACCCTGATGAAGGGGGTGGGATGGGAGAGAGGGGGCCTGGCAACACACAAGCAGAGGGAAGGAGTTTCCAGATCCTGACGGTGAGTTAGGGGCCAGGATGGGAGTCAGGGGGTCACAGTGCTGGCCCCCTCACCCAGTGTGCACTGGCCCGAGGTCACGGGGTACCACGGGCCCCTCGGAGCCCAGCATCCCTGGGGGCAGCTCTGGGGGCCCCTCCAGGCCCCACTGGCTCCCTGGACATAGGCGGAGATCCTGAGAACCACCATGAAATAGTGGTGTCGTTAACGTCCTCCTGTGAATCAGAACCCACTTTAGTACCAGGAAATACGACTCTACTACACACGGGCAATGTAAGATCACAACCAGGAGCACACGTCTGCAAAAAGACAAAAAATAAAAATAACGCAGGTTGTCGGCTCAGCCGCTTCCGAGTTTTTCTATTAACCCTCCTTTGCTACGCCTTCAGTCATTTTGTCGTCTGCTAACACTCGCTAGTAGACAAGGCACAAAAGGTTTAAGAGGAAAAACCAAGACGGAGAGGATCTTCAACTGCTCCTCCTCTCCTGCTAGTCTCCGTCCGTGTGAGCAGTCCCACCGCCCACCTGGGGACCCTTCTCCCGCCTGCCTCCCTGACCCTCCCGGGGCCAGTGGTGGAGCCCACAGCAGGTCAGCTCCCACGCTGGCCCTCGATTCCATCCCAGGCTGCTACCCTAGCTTCAACCTCATGCTCTCGCCTACAGTACTGCATTAGCCTCTAACCGGCCTCCCTGACTCTCGACCCCATCCAGCCATCACCTCGACGCCACCAAAGTGCAGCCACATCATTCCTTACTTATGACTCTCCCCGGGGATTCCCACCTGGCTTCTGGCTCTCTCCTTCCTGCCACAGACGCATGCTGGATTCCGAGGACCCCAGGGCAGGACAGTGATCTCCCTGAAGAACCAGAAGGGGCCAGACCACAGCCTCTGGGATGTGCCCGGGTCTGGCTTTTGGTCCTCCTTCCCACCTCAGGCCCTTTGCATGTGCTGGGCTCTCCCCTTCCCTTTGGACTGGCTGACTTGGAATCATTCACCAGTGTCAGCACCACGGCCATCCCCCAGGGAAACCTTTTCTGAGCCCAGTTTAGACTCTCTGGAATACATCCTTCACAGCTGTTACGACAAGTCTTAGACACCTATTTCTGGGTTTACTTCTAGAGCGCCTGGCTCCTCCCTCAGCCGGCAAACTCCCAGAGGGCAGGGGACCTGTCTGTCTTGTTCACAGTGCGCCCTCAGTGTCTGGGGGTACGCAGAAGGTGCTCGCGAAATACTCGCTCAGGGACCGACAGGGACGGGGGTGAGAGGCACAGGCCAGGGAGGGTGGCAGGGTTTCAGGTTAGAGGGTTTCCAGGAAGCCGAGCGCTTCAGGGCAGGGAGGCGAGCGTGCCGGCCCCACCCTGCCTGACGCCGCGGACGTCACTCACAGGTCAGCTCCGCCCACTTGGCCCCGGGGTGGTTGATGCCGCGCAGCGTGAAGCCCCTCAGCCCGTCGTAGAGCAGCTCCCGGTACCGGATCCGGAAGCCCAGGAGGATGCCGTTGACCTTGTCCTCCGGTGGTGGCTGCAGGGAACGGAGTGGGGCGTGGGGAGGGGCCGGGAGCACCGCTGCTGCCCCCTTCCACTCTGCTCCGGCCTCCCTCCCCACCCTGCCTCCTGCCGCCACAGAGCAGGGACTGAGTCTCAACCAGGAAAAGAAATCAAAATGACACTGAGCATTTTTAATTTACAAAGCATTTCCAACGATATTATTTCATTCCCGCAGCCTTCCCTGTGAGGCCAGGAAGGACAGGAATCACCAGGCCATCCCCACTGAACAGAGCAGGAAAGTGAGGCTCAGAGATGGTAAGGTACTTGCCCAAGGTCACACAGCATCATTGGGGCCCCAGGAGAACTCTGGCTCTTCTCAGGGAGCCGGTCCTTGCCTAGCAACTCCCTCATGTGATCACCAGCCTCCCTCGGCCTGCTGATCCCTCTTCCTACCACCTGGCCAATATTTCCTGGCGTTTCCTGTGAGCCAGCTCCTCTCCCTGCTCTTCTGCATGGAGAAGGGCGAGTGCACCTGGCTGCCTGCACTGCCCCCCTCCGCCTTTATCCTTCTCTCCTTGCTGTCTGCTCCCTTCCACGGCTGAGCTGGAGAGCAGGCTTCAGGAGAAGATGGAAGCTACTTTTTATGATGCCTCTTTTAAAAGACCTGCTGAGATGGCTCAGCCTCTTATTAGCTCCTTAATTGCATCCCTGGCTGCTGCTGGCACCTCCCTGCCCCCTTCGCCACCACGGCCCCAGTCTGCTCCAGCCTCGTCCTGGCGCCCAGCTGCACTAGGTTATTTTCATTGTGAGGGCTGCAGCTAGGGGAGGGGCCTGAGGGGCTCGTCCTTCCTTGTTTTCTCTTCAAGGGCTTTCCCTTCAGGGGGCTACAGATGGGCGAAGGTTGGTGCCTGCCCCTCTGACCTGAGAAGTGGAGACAGGAGTTCACCGCTTTGGGACCTGTGTGGGTGACCTGCGAGCCCAAAGGCTGGCCTTCGGAGGGCACAAGAGGGTCCCGCGGGCAATCCCGGGCAGCCTGGTCTCTGAGATGCATGCCCTGCCTCAGGCCATGGCAGGGCAACAGAGAGCGGGCAGCTGGGCAAGAGTGGAGGAAGGGGGTCCCCCGTACCTGGACAATGGGCTCCTGCTCATGGTGACGGGATAGTAGCCCCGTCCGGGCGCAGGTCAGGCGCCCACACCTGTGTTCGGTCTCTCTATCAGGAAGCCCTTTGCTGACAGTGGGGCTGGGTTTCCTGGAGACTCTGGGGCCCTGAAAGCCCTGAGCACTTTTCTGTCCCAGGATTCAGCCGACCGAAGGGCACAAAGCCGGGTCCTGCCACTTACTAGCTTTGTGACCTGGGTCATTTGCCTCACTTCTCTGAGTCTGGGTCCTCACCTGCAGAAGGGTGTAGGGGCACCTGACTGATCTGATTGGAGCATGGAGCAAGGGGCATGCAGGTGTCTGTGCGTGTGCACGTCTGTGTGTCTGTGCCTGTGTGTACAATGTTCCTGGTGGGCTGTTCGCTCCCTGTCTCAGCACAGAGCTTGTCTGAGTCCTCGTGGGACACAGGCCCCGCCCTGCCTGCCGGGCCGTACCTGCCATCGGATCAGCACGGAGGTGGTGGTGTGTGGTGTCACCGAGATGATGGTGGGCGCTTCGTCAGGGGCTGGGGAGAGAGGTAGACAGGTGAGCTCTGGGGGCCAGGGCTTAGGCCCCCTGGAGGCCACAGGGACCAGATTCTGCACACACTGCACTGTGGGCAGCTCTAGCTCGTCACCCTCACCTCGTCACCATCTCCATCACCCCAACTTGTGCAGAACAAAGGGCCAGTGTGGAGGGAGACAGGGGGGGACCCTGACCCCAGCCCAAACCCAAGGGTCCAGAGCCTTGTCCTCTCTGTCTCTAGAGCCACAGGCCTCGCACGCTGCTGCTGAGGCTCCCCACTCCCCTCCACTGGTTTTCTGGAGTCGGCCACGAGCTTGGGGGACATCAGAGAAGAGACACACTAGAATGCCAGGCTGAGTGTGGGTGCCCGAGCCCGTGGTGGAGGCCTCTCTGGCTCAAACCTCCTTGGGACTCTGCCCAGGGACACAGACAAAGGGTCCAGCAGGCCCGATACCCCTCCATCTTTGGAGGCCCCTCCCCCAAGAAGAGTGCTCAGGAAGTGCCCAGAGGGCCAAGAGAAAGAGACCCAAGTGGGGGACACTGACCGGCCTGCAGGGTGGTCAGCGGTTCCGACTCCTCGCTGAACTCACTGTCCCCAATGTCATTGGTCGCCTTCACTCGGAACTTGTAGGACGTGAAGGGCTTGAGCCTATGGGGGGATTGAGTTCAATGAATGGAGGTATCCCCATAATGGCGTTGCCCACCATCTCTGCTCGGGGAAAGGGGGGCGAGGATGCTGACACAGATAGGAACATCGAGTCTCAGAGAGAAAGTCTGCTACAATGGGGCCAAACAGGAGCTAGGCCCCTAGACCAAGCCAGCTTGGGGTGTGGCCTCACCTTTAGCTCCAATTATAAGCCACAGGTGCTCAAGAGGAAATGTCCACGTATTTCCTACCTCGGAGGAACGTGCAGCTACGAGAGCACCAACAGCGCCCTCTCTGAACAAGCTCCTCCCCCAAGAACTGCCAGCCTTGTCTTGAATTTAATAAATTCAGGAAGGGTCGTGGTTCTCAAGGGTTGACCAGCCCTTCATCTCTATAAGCCTCATTTCCTCCCCAGGCAAACGTCTTCCTTTTTGATTTATTGGGGGTGGAGGTGGGGTGAGGAGGAAAGTATTGCTCAAAACTCTCGGTCATGTCAACTGGAATATATAAAATATGACCCACCAGGAATTAAATTGAAGCCAGAATCCCCTATTAAAGATGGAGAGTGAAATGCGCCTGGCTGGGCGGAATCGCTAATGAAGGACGGCAAGCGCTCCGCTAAGGGGGGCTTCTGGGCTCCAGAAATAGGTAATTAAGAGGCAGCCCTAACAGGGCTCCAGAGAGATGGGGAGGGAGGTTAGGACGGAGCTGGAGGGGATGTGAGTGGACGGGAGGGCTTCTGGGTGAGGGGAGCTGAGGAAGAGGTTTGGGGGTGGGCAGGCTGTTGGGCAGGGAAGGGTGAGGCGGAGACGCTGGCAGAAGGGCTCACCTGTCCACAACGAAGGCCGAGGCGTTGTGGCTCACGGACGCAGAGTGCAGTGCCCACCTGCCGCTGGGCAGCTCGCGGGTCTGGACGGTATAGTAGCGCACGGGGGACAGGCCGTCGCTCCCCGGCTCCCAGGACAGCAACACGCTGCGCGCCTTCACGTCCTCCTGCTGCACCACTGGCTTGCTGGGGGGCTGTGGGCGGTCTGGGAGGAGGCAGAGGGGGAGAGCAGGTGAGCCAGTGGTAGAGGAGGGTGAGCTTCCTCAAGGAAGGAAAGGGGGTGCTCGGGGCTCAGGCCTGAGCCCCCTGCCCATCCACTTCCAAGCACCAGATCCTGGGAATTGACATCTCCCGAGGGCAGCCCCAACCAGGACTGGCAGAGAGGAGGTAGGAACACCCCAGCTCCCTGCCCCTGCCTGCCACAGTGTGAGATGGGACCCGTGCCGCCCCTGACTGGGCAGGACGGAGCCCACTTTCCCTCTGTGGGGCTCTGTCTCATGCCCACATGCTTGGCTTCTTTCCCCCTGCCCCACACCCTCCTCAGGGCTTCTCAGCACTTTGGCATTGGGGGCGAGGATTCTTTGTTCTGGGCTGTCCTGTGCATTGAAGGATGCTTGGCAGCATCCCTGGCTCTACCCACTAGATGCAGTAGCACCTCCCTCCTAGCTATGACAACCAAAATGTCTCCAGACATTGCCCAATGTCCCCTGGGGGGCAAAGCAGCCCCCGGTTGAGAACCACTGTCCTACTGGCTTTTCCTGCGAACTTCGTCTAATAAATCACCTTCACAGGAATCCGGGTCTCAGGCCTGCTTCTGGGGAACCCAACCTCGGGTGAGGTGTCAGCTCAGGGCAGCAGGGCAGTGGCAGCCGGGGCTCCAGGCTGCAGCCCCATCCTCCACCCATCTGGCCCTGGTCTTTGTCAAGGGGAAGGAAGCTGGTCTCACCCACCTGCGCTTCAGAAAACCAGGAACTGGGGCAGAGCAGCTTCCTTGGGAGCTCCCAGCTCAGCTCTGGAAGTCTACTAGAGCCCTCGCTGACCTCGACATCAGAGATTTGAGCCCACTGCAGACCAGGGCAATGTGACTCTTAACTAGCTGATCCCCGGCCATCCATGAGGAGAGGGTCTGAGCACCTGGGTTGGCTGGGGCCCCCTTGGCTGCCCCCCAGGGCTCCGCAGCCCCCGTGGCAGTCACCTCTCTTCTCGGTGGTCACCACCAAGGCCTCGGCGGCCTCTCCCCAGCCCTTGCGGGTCTGGGCCGTGATGCGGAACAGGTAGACAGACTCGGGCTTGAGGCCGGTGGCTGTGTACTGGCGGGCGCTAGGCGCGAGCACCTCCACTGTGGCAGTGTTGGCCGTGGTGGCGTTGAGCCGGTGTGTGATCTGGTAAGCTGTGGGGAAGGAAGGAAAGGGGCCGCGCTGGGAAGGAGGGCAGGCTGCCCCCAGAAAGGGTCATTCCTTCCTCAGCTACCACATGTCTGCACGTGGGCCACCTGGGCTGTGGTTCGTCTGCTTGAAGCCCTCTTGCTCACCCTTGTGTCCTCAGCTGCCCTTGGGGAATGTGACTGGGGCGGGGCACGGAAAGGTGCTCTGTACAGGGTGTGTGTGACCCCAATAACAGCCCCAAGTGAGGAAACTGAGGCCCAGAGAGGCCAGACCACCTGCTAGGAAGTGAGCGAGCTGGAATTCCAGCCCAGGTCTTTGTAAGTCCACAGTGCTTGCCCTTCCCCGTCTCCACTCTGCCTTCACAGGCGGGGCATCCATCTGGGGCAGGCGTTGCAGGAGGCCAGGACTGAGAGCCCTGGACCAGGCACAGGTCGTCCAGTCCTCCATTTTACAGGTGAGGGAGCTGAGGCCGTGGAGGGAAGCCGACTTACCCAAGTTCACACACCGTGCGTCTTCTCTTGTGAGGCTGTGTGTATTGTGCATGTGTTAGGGGAGGAACCTTGAATATGAAATGACGCTTCTGATCGCAGCATCCCTCCCTGTGCCTGAGGTCCTGTTTCCCACCTGTGAGCACAGCTGTGCTGAGCTGGCCAGTGCGCCCTCACCTGGCCACACTTAGGAACAGCAGCCAAGGTTTACCAGGTGGCCAGTCGGCTTGCGGCATTGGGGGGCACAAAGTTAACCAACAGTCCTTAAGGCACCTGAGCTCTGACCTTGTCCTCCAGCTGATAACCTTAAAGACTGAGATTTCTAGTGGGAGAAATAAGACTCAGAATCCCTCTTGAGGAGATGTGGACACTTCCTGGCCTAGTCTCCCTCCAGCCAATGCTGAATTAGCATCCTTTACACCTTATACCTCCTCCTTCTTCCTGCCGCCAGGACACAGGAAGGGTAGAGGCTTACCAAGGATGATGCCGTTGGGGGCAGCGGGGGGCTGCCAGATCAGGCGCACCGATGTGGTCCTCACCTCTGGGAACAGGATGCCCATGGGCGGTCCTGGGACTGGAGGGGACAAAGGAGAAGCGGGTGGCAGTGTGGCTGCTGCTCAGCCCCGAGCCCAGTCCAGCTCAGCAGAGCAGCACGGTGGGCTCAGCCCAGCTCAGCGCACTTTGTGGAGTGCCGCTCTGTGCCTGGCACCGTGTCCTAACGCAGGACGTGAAGATGCTGTGAGGGTGGTTTCTGCCCTCAAAATCGGCATTATTTGGTAGGAACTGGAAGGGACCAAGCCTCCAGCTCCCTTTAGCTCAGTGTCTGTGAACATGTGCACATGTATGTACGTGCAGGGCTGCCCTCAGAAATGGGCGAGGGAACCCTGTCCTGGGTCTGTGCTTTAGACGGTCACTCTTGACTTCCTTCCCGCAATGGGGTGAGGTGGCCGTGGCGCAAGGGGACGTGCCTGCCCTGAGCCCGCACCACCCCTCTTTCTAGACCCAGCTCTGGAATCCTGGGATCTGGAATTTCCTGCCCAGAACGCCCCACGCATGCTTCCAGGGCCTGCACGGGGCTGTTCCCAGGCCCACCCTCCTGAGGGTGGACTTGCATCTCTGGACTGATGGATGGCCAAGGGGTGGCTGTTTTGGGCGTGGTGATGGAGACTGAATGACATGGGCCAGAGGAGAGGGTGGGAAGAGAGCAGAGGAGTGGGTGGGGACGGCTGTGGGGGCAATTCTTTGTGTGCTGCCTCATTCCAACACAGAATGCCAGAAAGTCTGAGGTTTCTAAACTTGAACTTGGCCTTCCAGGTCATTATGAGGGTATATTTGTCAAGGCAGGAGGATAGAACATATTTAATTTAACAGATCATTAGCTTGATTTATAACTTGGATTATAGACATATGGCGTTTGGGTTTCCTTTTGCACTCCTGTCCGAACCCCACAAAAGTTTGTGGTGGGCAGTATGTGAGTGTGTGTGGGGGCTGGGGGGGGTGGCGCAAAGGACCAGCCTTTGACAGGAGTCTTGCTGCAGAGATGAAGGCCTGCAGCCCAGCTGGCGTCACTCTTTTGCAAACAGGACCAGGAGGCTCGTGCCCAGGAACAATCAAGCTTTTCCTTTGCACAGACCTTTACTTAAACTGAACCTGCCCCAGGCGAACAAGAAATCAAAACAGGTGCAAAGTCTCTATTCTGTACGTTTGACCCAGAGAGAGGGCAAGAGACTGAATCAGATGTCGGACTGCCCTTGCATTGTCACTTCTGCTTCAGGGATGCGCCGTCTGTAATTAGCATCCCCTTGCAGTGGGGATGGGACTGAGGTGGCCCTCGGTGACCTGCCCCCTACAGGAGAAGCCTGAGGCCACGGTTCCTTCTGGGGCAGAGCGTGACCCCTGAGGGGCAGGGCTGGGCAGACAGGAGGAAGGGCAGCTCCCAGTCTTCCCAGGCTGGCAGGGATTCGAACTCACCATCATCCAGCGTCCGCTCCAGGACGGGAGGGTGGCTGAGGCTGCCGTCCCCAACGCGTGTGAAGGCCAGCACCTGGACCTCGTAGAGCACGTACTTGCCCAGGCCTGTGAGCTGGGCGCTGCGGGACGAGTTCCCTTCCACCAGCCAGGACCGGGGCTGGGAGTCTGAGTCCTTCTCCTTATACATCACCTGACAGAGCCCAGCACAGGGGTGAGGGCCTCGGGCCTGGGGCCAGCACCTCTCCCAAGTCCCATCCCCAGGAGCGAGGTGGGCAGGGATGGAGCAGGCAGATGGGATCCTTGGAGTGGCTTGGCCCTAAGGGGCCATGGGGTAACTGTGGAGCTGGTGTTCCAGGAGGGGGACACAAGATCACTCAGCAATGGAGCTGAAGTTTCCTTAGAGAGCATCCAGGTAATAAAACAGGCTCAGGGAGGGAGTGTGACTTGCTCAAGCTCACACAGCCAGTAGTGGCAGAGCCAGGAGGTCAAGCCACATCTCCTGACCTCCAGGCCATGGCTGGATCACACGGCTAGGCACAGCTTTGGGAGGATCTAGAAGATAATGGAAACTGAAGCTGGGCCCATGGGAGCTGAGAGTGAGGCTTGGGCAGCCAGCGTGGCCTCCTGGGGGAGGTGGAGCTTCCCCAAGGACCCTGGGCCCTCCTCAGAAGCATCCCACCCCTGAGGGAGGACTCCCTGGTTGCCATGGTGACCGATGGACGGATGCCATGCAGATCCCCTGTGTCCACTACAGAAGGCAGACATGTGGGCCCCAGGGGTCACGAGGACAGGGCATCTCGGGTGGGGAGGCCGGTTTAGTGGCTCCAGCCCCCTCCCGTGCTCGGACCCGGGACGCACCTTGTAACCCAGCACAAGCCCGTTGCGGTCGGCCTCAGGGATTTCGTTCCAGCGCACCAGCATGCTGCTGGAGGTGGTGGCCAGCGCGGACACATTGGTGGGGCCAGAAGATGGGACTGAGGGAGAAAGGGAGCGGAGAGAAGGAGCTCAGGACCCAAGGTCGACCCTACGGTGGAAGGGAGTGGAGGGGGACCTGGGGAAGGACGCATAGCACAGACAGTCCCCAAAGAGCAAATTATCCTGCCATGATTCCTTTTGGCTCTGGAATGTGACAGATGCTGTTTCTGGTTTCAGATTCGCCTCCCCGTTATCCTCTGCTCGGGCTAAGTTGGATTGAGCCTGCATTTCCACCAGTGCACCAGTTGGGGGGCAGGGACCTGTCATTTAAAAGGTGCCAGAAAAAAGCCCCAGAGCCGGGAGCCACATGTGCTCAAATGAGGCTGGGGGCTCATATTCTGTGGGTGAGCCCTTGCCAGGCCCCCATGAGCTGCTGGTTGCGTTTCTGGAATGTTCTGAGAGCTAACCCCACCCCCTCCCCCACCTCAGGCTCTCTCAGGCACCACTGGGTGTCAGGATTAAAGGTGAGGGCACAGAGGTGGGGACCCCTCACCCCCCAACTTTGGGAGCAGTGGGACAGCTGCAGATAAGGATCAGGTGCAGGGAGAGGCAGCAACACGCAAGGTGCTCGGCCGGGACACGGAGCAGAAACAGGAAAACGAGCCCTGGCTGTTTTTGAACACCCGCACCAGCTTTTGTGCCCTTGGAAGGCCCTGCAGGTGGAGAGGCACAGGTGGGGTGGGGGCAGTGGCAGGGTGGCCACCCCAATACAGGCCTTGGGAAGTCACGGCAGGCTGGCTCGAGGGGGCAGTACCTGACTCCCGGGTCCTGCCCATCACCGTCTGGCTCCAGGGCCCGCTCCCGATGGCGTTGAAGGCCTGGACCTGGACGCGGTACTCGGTCCATTCCTCCAGGTCCTCGATGGTGTACTCGCGCTCCACGCGGTCCTGCACCACGTGGCTCAGCGTCTTGCCGTGGCCGTCTGCCCGGCTGTATTTGATCTTGTAGCCCACCGACTCGGGGTTCCCGTTGTACTCCATCTCCGGGAGAGGCTGTAGGAGGGCAGGGGGAGCGCAACTGCTGTGAGGCCTGGGCCACCCTGTGTCAGAACTACCTGGCTTGTGCCCCCTCTGCCAGGGAGTCTTCAGGATTACCGAGCCCGCTGTCCAACCTGTCTGTGCCCCTGTGAGGCGCTGTCACCCTGGGTGTGGCTTAGGTTGTGTGACTCTGTGTTTCTTATGGCCCCATCTCCCTGTCTCTACTCGTCAGGCTCAGAGGAGAGGTGGTATCTATTCTTTATTGTGCACTCCACGAACTTTCTACCCTGCCAGGGGAGTTGGACATAGCAAGGAGACCCCTAAGTCTGTCTGTCCAACTGCTGATGAGCACAGCACTTCGGTCCTGGCTATCTCGACCACTTAACTCCCTCACTCAGGCTGCCAACATACATTTATTTAATTGCCTACAACACGCCTGGTCTCAGCTCGTGCCTGCCTTGGAGAAGCAAGCAAGGGAAGATGGCATCCCAAGTATGGATGGGGCACCGGTCACTGTCGGGAAGTCCTTCCTTCCAGCAAACTTCAGTCTCTCCTGCTGCATTTTCAGCCTCTTTCTTCTTCTTTGAGTCTCAGAGAAGAGAAAAGACAGATTCCTTTCCTGGGCTCTATGAGGAGGCTGGTGGGGCTATGGTTGCTGGCTCAGGTCACCTGGTGGATGAACCTGGGCAGTGTGAATAGGCAGTGGAGGTGTGTGCACGTTGGGGAAGCCTGTGATCTGAAGCAGGTGTGAGCTGCGGGCTGGGCCCTCAGATTCTCCTCTGAAGGTGGCAAAGCTGGAGCTGGGGCACCCTTGACCCTCACTTGCCCCCCATTCTGCTTCCCCAGGGGCTCCACAGAGCCCTCGGTCCACAGGCTTCCACATTCTCACCTACTTCCTCCCGCTCCTCTCCTTCTGCCTCTGCCTCACTCCCCACATACCCACTCCCTCCCGCCAGCCCGCTCCTCCAGACACTCGGTGAAGCCGAGCAGAGCCCATTAAGACAGCGATCGATGGGCCCAGAGTTTGAGATGGGCCTTGAGCACATGCTCCCTCACCTGCTGAGGAAGGGGCCGGGCCGGGCACCATTAAGTGGGACTGGAGGTGCCGGGGCCCTGCACAGCACAGCAAAGGCCTTTTTATTCCCCCTCCAGCTCCCTCTGGGTACCCGACTCTTTAGCCTCTTAGTATTTGAAAGCCTTAAAGTGAGATGCGGGAGGGGAGCAGGGCCCGGGAGAGAAGGGGCAGAGAGGCCAGCGGCAACAGAAGGCTGCGAGGGCCTGGGGCGTCCACCCGCTGTGCCTGAGGCCTCTGGGCTGGGCGGAAAGACAGCTCTACTCGGTGCCAGCCACCCTGGGAGGGGATCATAACAGATAACTGACGTTTGTCCAGGGTTGAGGGTGCCGTTAGCTCCTTTTATCAGGCTGTCCACATACGTGAAATGGAGTAATGGCTTTCCAGGAAACCCCGGCCCACAGAGTGGTGTTTTCCAAGTTGTGGTTTTTGCAACTAGTGAGAGATCTTGCATGGAAACAAAAAAGAGTGGTGTGGCCAGATGGGCCTGGTGAAGGAGAGTCAGGCAGGCTCTTCCCAAAGCCAGTGCTCCGGGATTCTCCAAGGAACGGGCTGTGCGGGGCTGTTCCCCACGTTTATTTGTCTAAGAACTCCTGCGTGCTCCGAGCACATCTTGGCTTGCTGCTTTGTGGGATCCAGGCTGGGAAATGCTGTCCCAGAGGAAGGCCTGGGGGAGAAATGTTCTCTCCTGTTCCCCAGAGGATGGGACGGCAGTGGGCTCAGTGGTTAGGGCTGTGGATTTTGGGAGCCAGACTCCCCGGGATGGGAATCTGAGATCTGCTCTTAACTAGGGGGTGTGGGAAGATGCGGGGGACTTGGGCCAGTTATTTGACCTCTCTTTGCCTCAGTTTGCTCATCTGTAAAGTGGGGGCCAGCATCACTGCTGTCACAGGCTTGTGGAGAGCATTCAAGGCCTGCCTTGGAATAAAGCACCCAGAACAGCGCCTGGCGGGAGAGGAAGCCCTCAGCATGGTAGAACTGCCCCTCGTGCAGGGTCACCGGGGGTCACAGCCCTCAACGTGCAACCCTGATCTGTGGGGACGGTCTGAGAGCCTAACAGCCCCTCCCTCACCTCCCCCTCTACCCCAGAAGCAACCCCTCACTCTCTGACTTGGTGGAACAACTTGCCTCTGATCCCAGACCCACCCTTGGGAGCTGTGTGTCTGTTGGTGAGTTCTTAACCTCTCTGAGCCTCAATTTTCTTAGCTGTAAACTGGGATAATAATGTGTCCTTTGCAGGGTTACTGGGAGGATTAAATGGAAGAAAAAAATAAAGTGCTTGGCACATGGCAATGCTCAATGAATAGTGCTTTCTAGCTCCTTCTCCTCACATGGGCATTTGTCCATTTGGCTAAGACTGATTATCAGGCACCTTACCAGGTGCTAGGTATAAAGAAGGAGAAGGGAGCCGTGGGTATGCCGGTGGATGTCCCCTTTGATGTGGCCCCTTGGAGGCAGTGACACCTTTGCAGGGTGGAGAGGACCAAAGAGACATCCCCCCCACTGCCCTCATGGGAGCCTCACCATCCAGCGGAGCCACAGGCTGGTCTCACTGGCCGTGCGCAGGGTCACATTGGCCGGGGCCATGTCAGGGGGCGCCTGGAGGGTCTGGATCTTTCTAGAAGGCTGGCTGGGTGGGCTGGTGCCCACGATGTTCACCTGGCGCATGCGGAAGCTGGGGTGGGGGAAGGGGTGAGCAAGATGGTGAGGGCAGGAACCCAGGGCCAAAGCCCGTCCCAGTCTAAGCAGCCCTCTCCCCTTCCCGCCCCGAGTCCAGCCCCGTTACCTGTAGTAGGTGAAGGGATTGAGGTCGGGCACCTCCATGGAGCGGGCGTCGGGCTCGTTGGTGAGCTGGTGGATCAGCAGCCACTCCTCTCCCTCCCCGACCACGCCCACCTGGAAAAGGGGGGACCCTTAGACCCGTCCAGCCCGCGGGGCTGAGATGGGGGCCCCAGCCCCTAGGAGGCACAGCCCTGCCCAGAAAAGGCCTTGATTCAAACCCCAGGGCTCACCAGAGGGCACCAATGGGGCCACCATCTTTCCAGGCCCTTAAACATGACTTAAGAGTGTGACCCCGGGCCCTCCTGCATCAGATTCTCATGGAATGCTTGCTATAAACCCACTCCTGGGCCCTGCCCTAGACTGAGCCGGTCAGAACCCGTGGGGGTGGTGCCCAGGAATCTGTAAATTTAGTAAGCTTCCCAGGTGATCCTCCTGGACACCCCAGTGCTGCTTTTTTTTTTTTTTCTTGTGAGGAAGATCAGCCCTTAGCTAACATCTGCCCATCCTCCTCTTTTTGCTGAGGAAGACTGGCCCTGGGCTAACATCTGTGCCCATCTTCCTGCACTTTATATGGGGGACGCCTGCCACAGCATGGCTTGATAAGCAATGCGTAGGTCTGTGCCTAGGATGGGACCCTGTGAATCCTGGGCCGCTGAAGCAGAGTGCACAAACTCAACCACTACGCCACTGGGCTGGCCCCCCGAGGTGCTTCTAAAAACCCAGCTAAATCAGAATAGGCATTTCTGGGAGTGGGACCTAGGCACTGGGACTTCTGAACACGCCCCTGTGTAGCCAAAGCTGACCACTGCGGTTTAAAGGGCTGCAGGCAGCAGCTGGTTATCTTTCTGGGACAGCCAGTCACTGCCCGACCCGAGGGGATTGGGGTGCGTGTGTATGTGTGTGTGTGTGTGCGTGTGTGTGTGTGAGAGATGGAGAGAGTGTGTGTGTGTGCACAGGAGTACAGGTGAGTGGAGGTGGACCTGCAGCATTTTCGGTGTATCTGGCCATCTGGTACTTGCATGTGGAAATTCACACAGATGTGAACACACATAGGATTTGCACCCAAGAGCATGGCATGCCCGAGGCCGGGAGTGGGCTGCCCGGGCCGCAGGGTTCCCCTCCGGCAGCCTTTACCTGGGCCTCCACCAGCCAGCGGGAGATGGAGGTCTTCCCATCGTAGCCTGGCCTGAACTGCAAGGTCACGGAGCGGGGGCCGATGTTGGAAATGCCCAGGTTGGTGGGGGCCCCTGGGAGTTCTGGAAAAGGAAACAGGGCGGGAAAGGAGATCGGGTGAGAAGAATGTTGAACAGGACTCTGGGCACAGAGCGGGCCCTGTCCCACTTTTCCTAGAAGCCTCCTTGGAGGAGCATGGGCGAGGTCTTACCCCACCAACACAGTCTTGGTTCCTCCATCTATGGCTCACCGTGTCCATACCATGGGCCTGAGGCAGGTTTAGGGGCTGAGAGGACCTCCCAGGCCCACGAGAAGGCTCCCAGGGCCAGGAAACGGGCTGGGCATGCGAGGACTTCTTGAATGAAGCCCCTCTCCATCCATATACACCCTATTACAGCCCCCAAACCCAACAATGGCTGAGAGGGATAGAAGGAGGGGTGGGGACAGGAGGCAGTCCATTTTCCAACCAGGAGCCTTGGGGTTCAGGATGAACAGAAAGAGCACAGATTCTGAAGTCGGACTGTCTGAGTTGGAATCTAACTCTCTTCCTTCCATGCTGTGTGTCTTTGGGCAAGTTACCTAACCTTGCTGCGCTGCAGTGTCCTCCTCGTAAAATGGAGATGATAATAACATCACCTACCTCAGAGTTGTTGTGAAGATTAAATGAATTGATGTATATAAAGTACTTAGCTCCCGGCCCGGTAAGCACTACATGAATACTTCTCAGTGTTACTGTTATTATCACTTGGGGTTGACTGAAGCTCGGGAACCTCACCTATCTCTGTGGGCAGATCGAGGGGTTCTGCCAGGTCACATAAGTGTAGACTTACAGACCCAGACAGGACCACGTGGTCATCTAGTCGATCTCCGCATAGATACAGATAGGGAAACTGAGGCGCAGAGGGGACACTTGACTTGCTCAAGGTCGAGGAGCCTGGCAGAAGCTGGGCTGCGAGTAGACCTCAGCTTGCTCTTTACACCAAGTTTAAGATCATCCCCACCTGCTCCGCCACCTTCCTGACCAACACGTCCACCGGCTGGAATCTGACTTGGACTTTCTGGGTGACAGTGAGAATTTTCCCCCTGAATCACAGATACCACTGCCTGATGTGGAGCCTGGTGTGGGGCGGGGCGGTGGAGGCGGGTGCAGCAGGGCGCATGAGACAAGGGTGGGGTCCTCCGGGGGCCTCTGCTTTTCTGAGAGCCGTGGAGGAAGCAGCCGCGGGCTGAGAGCCTCCTTCCAGAGACCTGGGGTCACGAGAATCAGCCTGCCCGGGGGGACCAGAGGGACCACAGACCCACGAGAGGGGAGGGCTGTGTGGGAAGAAAGACACTATTCTTGAGAAAGAAGGGGCTTCTTGATCAGGAGACCCAGAGGCCAGGAGCCCTGCCCGAGAGTGGGCACCCACCTGGAGGCACCCCGGAGGAGATGGTCGAGGCAGACACCTGGCCCTGGCCCTTGGCAGTCATGGCGGCCACCTCGATGGTGTAGGTGGTGAGCGCGGTGAGGCCTGTGACACGGTACTCCAGGGTCACGTTGGGCAGGTAGTGGGTCACGCGGGTGTTGGTTCGGTTATACTCCTCCCAGGAGATCCGGTACCCTGGGGAGAGCCCCGGTTGTGGCGTGAGCTCGGCTGTGACCACAAGCTGGCCTTGGCCCTCTACTCTGCTCCTCACTTCACTAGTCTGGCGGTTAGATACGCACTGGGAACATCGTGCCTGGGGCCCTGGGTGTAACCTGGGTGGGAAGCCCCCGTCAGGAGGGGAGTGCAGGAGGGAGAGCAAGTCACTGTGGCGGCCACCTAAGGCCCGTGGCTGAAGATCTGGGGTCTGTTACAGAGTGGAGGGGCTGAGAGTCTTCTCTGAGTTCTTTCTAAGAAAGAGTCGTCTGCTGGAGGCTTTGAAGGGACACTAGGTCGAAGGCAGGGGGATGGACTAGATGACCTTTCCCGGTCCCGTCTCCCCCGCCCCCCTTGCCCATGCCCGGCAACACCACGGTGCCTACCTGAGAGGATGCCGTTCTTCTCTCCTGGCTCTTGCCAGCTGACCTTCAGCGAGGTGTCCAGGATTTCACTGAAGCTCAGGTGTCCCACAGGCCCAGGCACTGTACCCCAAAAGGGCCCCCCACCCCACCCGATGCCAGTTAGAGACTGCCGTCTGTCTGCAAGAGAGCCCACGGTGCTCCAGGGGCGCCCCAGGACAGGAGACAAGACCAGGACTGCCCTGGGCCTGGAGCACCCAGCCTGGCCCTCGGGTGGGGACAGAGAGCAGGTGTGGGTGGTGCCTACCATCCTCATGGGTGCGCACCAGCTGGGGGGTGCTGCGGGGCCCGTCCCCGGGAGTAGTGAAGCACAGCACCGAGGTGAAGTAGTCGGTGAACTTCTTGAGGCCAGACACGAAGCCCACGTGGATGGTGTCTTGAAAGTTGGGCCGGGCAGTCACCATGGTAACCTCCTCTTCCTGCTCCGGCTCCCAGGCGATCAGCTGGGGAGAGGCCAGCCATTCAGACAGAGCAGCCAGAACATTCCAGAAGGGGCCAAGTGCTCTCCCACGGACTGGGCCAATGGACAGAGAGTGTCCAGGACCACAGCTCCCTGTCATCCCTCCTCCCAGGGAAAGGATGGCCGTGCAGACAGCCACTGGCCACTGGCGCGTCTGTCCTCCTGGGAGTCCACTTTGGTGTGCTGCTCCGTTCATTGAGCGACTGCAAGGCCCCGTGGGGGTGCTTTCCATGAGTCATTTCTCACTCGATTCCCACAGCGATCCCACAAGAGAGGACTCTGCATAATTTGTAACAAGAGGACTCCTACATAATTTGCAGGTCCAGTGCAAAATGCAAATGGAGGGCCCCCTTGTGTAAAAATTATTAAGAATTTCCAGATGACAGCAGCAGAGCATTTAACTGAACATGGGGTCCTCCCGCGCGTGGAGCCCTGAGTGACTGCACAGGTTGGGCACCCCCCCGGCCCTGTTTTTCACAGATGAAGAAACTGAGGCTCAGAGAGGCTAAGTGACTTACACTATATCACACAGCCAGTAGGGAGCTGAGGGGTTCCTGCATCTTTCTCTGTCTGGGCTGGGGCACCTTCTCCCTAGGAATTCTCCCATAGAGCTGGGACTTCACTCTGTGGATAACTCTTATTCTTTTAAACTTGTTCCAAGTTGGGATTTCAGTCTTAGACATCACCTGGAGGTGGCGTGTCGGCAAGAAAACCCCGTCTGGAAATTCAGCATCGCTTTTTGTCTAATCTCCGCTGTACACACACCACCCCTAATTGCATAAGCTTCCTGCCTCCCCTTTCCTCTCCTCTTGCCTCTTGATCTCTCACCTCACACTCCTGTTTTCTAGGTCCTTCATCTGTCTCCAACGATGACAGCTGGCCTCAGAGATTTCCTCATTTATTTGAAGTTGATTAAATAGCAATTAATGGTGAAATGCAACACTTGATGAGTTTTAATAAGCACGGGTATTTATAGATATAAAACAATACGCCGATGTCTCCTGATTAACTCTCGCCTGTAACAATGCTTAATCTTCTCCTGTTCATGGCAGCATGTTTATAAAGGATGTTTTGAAATTTAATTGGTATTGTGAAAAGATAGCCTATAGCAAGTTAATTAGACACTAATTAGATCCTAAAAATACTAATCAGAAATACTAAGTGGCATTTAATAAGTATGTTAAATATCCTCCTTATTTCGGTTATCTTGTTTCATGGCAATTAAATTGCTGAACTTCTTTGGAGTATATTAAGAAACAAGTTTAATGTTTTAATTTAATTTAACTAATGTAAATTTGAATTAATTACACCATTAGAATTAATTGTGTGGTGTGTTCCCCAGCAAGTGCAAAATCTGGGTAAATATTATTTTATTGGTTTTAGGCCAATTACAATCACTACCATTTAAAAAAAAAATAAAGGAGAAGTGTCTTTACAGAGGCCTTAAGACAATATCACGGGGAATTGTGTTAAAAAGTGACCCAGAAGAACACAGCAATGACTCTGTCATCCTACTGTTCCACGACGGAAGCCAAAGATGGCAGCAGGCCTGTGGCGGCTTCAAAATACTTAGTCTGGGCTGTGAGCCACTGCCTTCTCCAGCTGCGTCTGCAGAGGAGCAGGCTCGGGTTAAGAGGCCTCTCCCTCAGGGCCAGGAAGACAACAGAATTGCCTTCTGCACTTCTACTGCCTGAGAGGAGCTGGACCCTGAGCCGTCATGAGATGGATCTCAGAGCTCGAGCAAGCACACAACAGGGCTGAGGTCTGACGAGCTCCTCCTGTGTGCCCGGCACTGGCTTAAGCCCACCACTGACCAGTCTACCTCATCATCACAATGGGGATCAGATGGGAGTCAGTGTCCCGTGCTGCTACAAGAAGGGCAACAGTGAAGCTCAGGAAGGTTGAGGACTGTTCAGTGCCCATGGGCCCACCAGCAGCTGGTTTCAAGTTGTGGACCTGAGCCCCCTGATGAAGACCTCTGCCTGCCCAGGTATGCACAGCTGCTAGGTGGGTGTTAGGGTTTCTCTTTGCCGTCTCCGTGCCTGCTCTTCTTAGTCGGGTCAGTGCTGATTTACTCCATTAGGTCCTTGGTCTCGGATTCTAAGCAGACGGGGCTACCCTGAGCGTGAGTGGGGTGTGGGGTGAGTGTGTGCTGGGGGAGGAGCATCAGACCGAGGTTCTCCAGACAGGCAACTCCACCGTAGAGAGCAGAGGCCCAAGGAGGCAAACCTGTAACTGAAGGGTGGCTAGTGGGGGTGTGTGTGTGGGTGGGGGGCCAGAGTGTGCAGCCAAGCCGAGAGGAAGGAGGACAGAGCCCAGCTCTGTCACTTACTGTGTGACCCTGGGAAAGTCACTCGACCTCTCTGAGCCTCAGGCTATCCTATAATAGACGACAGTAATAGCCACCTGGTAGAGGCAGTAGATTACAGGGTGGAGAGTGTAGGATGGTATATATGGCCTGCTAGCTACTGAGTTAAAAAAAAAGTAAGGGAAATTCTCTCTTTCCCTCTCTCTTTGTCTTTCCCTATCTCTTTTTGCATTTGCATGGACTCACATAAAACATCCTGGAAGGATATGTAAGCAATTACAACAGTGGTTACCTTGAGTGGGGAGAGTTTCAGGGTTGGTGGACAGAACCAGGCAGATGAGGGACTGAGGTGGGATGGAGGATTTCTGCTCTACGTTTTTTTTTTTCACGTCTGTTGGTGTTTGAATCATGTAAATATATTTCTTGTTTAAAGTTAAATTAAAAAAATAAAAAATAATTATGGGGGGAATTTGGCAATAGTTGCGAAATTATATACACATTTACCCTTTGACCCAGCAATCTCATCTCTAAGAATCTATTCCAAAGTTATATTTGAAAATATGCAAAGATGGATGCACAAAGCTATTCACTGCAGAAATGTTGGTTCTCGTAAAAGACTGGAAACAACCAAAATGTCATCACTAGGGAGCAGGTTGACTAAAGTGAGGGAGATCCGCCTAACGGAGGATGATACAGATGTAAACGGAAGGAACAAGGAATATCTCTGTATACTCTCATGGAGTGATCTCCAGGATATAACGTAAATAAAAAAGCAAGATGGAAAAAGTGTGTAGAGTAGCTGTCATTTACCTAAGAAGGAGAGGATACATATTTACATATGTATGTATTTGTTTATGTTAAAGAAATGGAAGGAAAACCAAACCAAACAAACAAAAAGAAACCAAACCTACGGCGGAGGGAGAGGACCAGAATTCAGGCTGATTTTCTCTGCATTTACTTTGTAGATTTAACTTTGGAACCACGTAAATATGCTGCATGATTATAGAACAAAATTAAATTAAAAAAATCAATCCCTAAAAATCGAAACCAAAATGAAACAAATGAACCTAACAATGTATTGAGTTGTAGCAAAATTACACAGTGAGAAATGATCTCAGATGACTCTGCAGCACAGTAACGTGAAGCCCATCCCTCGTGGGACACATCCTGAGAACAGAGAGATCTGCAAGTCATCTGAAGCCATGTTCAGTAATCATGGTGGTGACGGTGCTGTTCTGAAACTGTTGTGGGGGCTTGTGGGATAAAGTAGGTGGATGAACTGGGTTTTCAGTTTGGAGAAGAGAGATACAGACAAAAGATCAATGAGATTATTAAAAAGCTTGCAGTCCTGAAATTGAATTGGAAGGATCAGTATATGTTTTACCTTAAAAAAAAGTATTTCCTAGCTGTCCATTAACAGAGTCAAGAAACAACAGCCAATGCTAGAACGAGGAGCACCCCCAGTGCCCAGCCTGTGGTATCTTACTATCATTTCAGACTGAAAGGAACAAGGGCTCCTTGAAGACACGGGTGATCCCAGGCACAGTGCAAGAACTGTGGATAGTTTGGAACATCCTGTCATACCAGATAGCAAGCGAGCTATCAAAGACCACTGGGACCATGTCAAAAGGGCTCAGGAGTCAACTTGAAGAGGCTAATGATGGGTCAATTTGGCATCAATAAGAATAATAATGGCTGCGGATTGAAACATATCAGATGTGTTAAAAATCCTTAAATACATAATAATATTACCAAAAACAAAACAAAAAGATGACGCCCCCCCCAATCCAAACTCATCTGTCACCTTAGAAGATGCCAAGTAATCAATTCATTATTCTGAAAATTGGTAAGTAATGGAAAAGAACTGAGCATTTACCGTGCTTTTCCTAGATGAACTGTACCTTTAGGTAAGCAAAAAGTTGGTAAGAGGAAAATTCTTCTTTTTTTTTGGAAATTATTTCAGCTATAAATCAAGAAGAAATTATAATATTCGACTATCCTCATTTTGCAACCCCTACTGAAATAACAGATTACACAAGGATGGTCAATGGTCACCACATCACAGTAAGAGAGACGGCCAGACTTTATGCCTTCTGATGGAAATACACAACATCATCCAGGGAATAATATTTTGGGGAAAAAAATCATCAAACCTGAATCTGATCAAGCCTCTAGTTCTAAGTTCCAATTTGCTGCAAATATAGCATTCAGAAGAATGTGTTAAATGACCCCACAGGGATGCAATCAACAAAATTCAGGCTGTGGAAAATTCTGTAGGACAAATGACTAAGTTTCTTTACTAAATTAATTACAAGAAAAAAAAGAGAAAAAGGAGAGAGAGAATCTATAGATCAACTGAGACCTAAAAAGTCCTGACCAAATGCAATTGTGTGGACCTCTTTTGAAGCAAATAAACCAACTAGCAAAAGAAATGGTGTGGCAATCAGAGAAATTTGAATGCTGACTGGATATCTGATGATATTAAACAGACTGATGATATTTTTCGGCACGTTAATGATAATGCAGTTATTGTGATTATGTTTTAAATAGAGGCTTTATAACATTTCTCTAGAAATGTTTATGGATGAAATGATACAATGCCTGGGATTTGCTTCAGAATATTCCAGGGGAGAGATGGAGGGTTGGAGAACAGATGGGACATATTTGGCCGTGAGTTGGTAATTGCTGAAGCCAGGGATGTGTACATGGGTGTTCATTATAGGTCTCTCTCTACTTCTGTAGATGCTTGGAATTTTCACAATTAAAAGAGGGGAAAAAGTCCATTCTCACTGGAGTTATGGCAGGGACAAACACTGCTTTTTTCTCCCTGTGATACACAGAAGGCCAAAGAAGCAAGAAATAAAATCCCCACTTGTATTCCTTTGTACTTAGAAAAAATCAAGTTATAATTACTATTTTACAGTTAAATCATACGACACATTTTCTTTTTAATGCAAGAAAAGGTGCAGGCTCTGGAGTTTGAATCTGAGCCTTGCAGTTACTCTGTTTGACTTTGAACAACTTGCCTCTCGTGCCTCAGTTTCTTCTTCTGTAAAATGGGGTGATGATAGTAAGACTTACTTCTTAGGGCTCTTGTGCAGTTGGCACGAGAGAAGAATGTGAGCAGAGCCCTAGCATCCTGCCTGGCACGTAGAAAGTGCGTTGAAGTGTGAGCTCTTTTATTCTTCCATCAGCTTCTGAACTCAAAATATCCAGGCAATTCCTGCCCGCTGACCTTAATCAAGCAGCTGCTGGGCGCTGGGCACTGATGAGACCTGGAAATCATGGGGGGCTCTGCAGCCTCCTCTTGCTTTGGTCATAATGACTTGTTGCCCTGATTGTCCTGACCACTTGGCTGGCCTTCTCGGCCCTCCAGGAACCATTTGCCTTAGAAGTTTGCATCCAGCCCTCCCATATGTGGAGGAAAATCTAGAATTGGCAGCAAGAAGCTAATTGTGCCCAGCTCAGCTCCTCTGTTCCTCAGCGTGATGAGGGCCTCCCCTTCCTCCCTGCACCCCCGCCTCCCCCCAGAGTCCCAATTAGCAGGCTTTTCCAGCCAGCCAGCACTGCTGGCGTTTAGCTACAGCACCCTGCCCCGGGAAAGCCCTGCTGCGCCTTGGTGCCCGCCTTCCTGGACTGAGAGGGCTGTGGCTGTGGTGTGTCTGGCTCTGGACATTCCCTCCTTTGTTTACAACACCAGCAGAACATTCTCTGTGTGATCTAACCTCAGTCCCTTCCTGACCAACCACCCCCAACTTGCAGTAATAATGGCTAAGGCTGCTAGTGCTAGAAATGATCTTGGTTGTCGCACATGTGCAAACACAGCACAGAGAGGGTACAGGAACCTTCCAGAAGTGTTGGTGGTCACCGTGCGGTCACCAGATCCTTGAGCTCAAAGCCAGAACCTGCAGTTCTCCCCTCTTCGTGGCTGGCTTCCTGGTGGCATGCCCCTTAGATACTCTGCCTCTTCCCCTACATCTGGAGGGAGCCGAGCGCATCCTCCCACCTGCCCCAGGCTCCTGGGGCACAGCCGCAGAACATGGAGTAGACCTCGCGCGGTGTGATCCGCCTGCCTTCAGTTCTCTTAGGGGAGGTCGGCTTGGCGCTCCTCGTGGGTGAGAGGAGAGACCCAGGCGCAGGATGCAAGGTCTGGGTTTGAGGACGGGGCGCTTGGGAAGTCCTGACTTTTGGCACAGCTACAATTATGGCAAATTTACTACCACCACCACCACCACCACCATTACTACCACTACTACTAGTAGTATTACCATGACTGTTACTACTAGCACTATTACTACTGTTACTATTTGTTATGGGCTGAATTGTTTCCCCCCCAAATTCATAAGCTGAAGTCCTGACCCCCAGGACCTCAGAATGTGACTGTATTTGGAGACAGTCTTTAAAGAGGAAATTAAGTTAAAATGAGGTTGTTAGGGCAGGCCCTAATCCAACCTGACTGGTGTCCTTACGGGATGAGGACATTCACACAGACATGCACAGAGGGAAGACGCGTGAGGACGTGGGGAGAAGGCGGCCGGCTACAAGCCACGGAGAGAGGCCTCGGCAGGAGCCACCCTGCCGGCACCTTGGTCTTGGACTGCCAGCCTAGATCTGTGTGAACACTGACTTCTGTCCTCGAGGCCCCACAGCCTGCGCTACTTTGCTGGGCAGCCTGCACAAACTGAGACATTTCTGTTACCACTGCAATCATTTTCTGAGCACTTGTTATGTGTTTGTCAGTGTGCTCAACAAATTACAAACATTAGCTCATTTTCCTCACGTAACCCTGAGGATTAGGTATTATCACCGTCTTTGCTTAAAAATGAGGAAGCAGAGTTTATTTGGTTCCCCGGCAGCTAGAGCAGCACCTATAGTTGAGCCCAGTAAATCTTTACGGAATGAGGGATGCCCAGACAGACCACAGAACCTGTGCAGGGAGCTGGCAAGGGTCAGGGCCAGGACTGTAACCCAGTCTGTGTGAGTCCCAGTCCCCTGCCCTTAACACACTGTGTGGTGTCAAGTACAGCCCCAGGACACATGACCCAGCAGGATCCCATGAGAGCCACAGCTGGGCGGTAAGAAGTGGGTTCTGGATTTTTCTGATGGGGCTGTGGCTATGCCTGGTGTTCCTGACCCTGAAACAAACCTGGTTTTGTTTATAACCCAGTCTCACAGAGGACACCCCTACACTGGGTCACAGATTGGGCAGTGTCCACACTCCCCGTGGCCTGCACCTGGCCTTGGACAGCGCTCGCGTGCCCTTCGCCTTGATCACGTGTCCTCTGCTTGGCTTGAACCAGAAACAGAGGGGGACTGCCCCTGCCTATCCCTCGTCTTCCTCCCGCCGCCTGCGGCATCCCGCAGACAGCCTCCAAGCCTCCTCTCCAGACAAGGGGTGCCTCCCGTACCTTGTAGCCCTGGTTGATGCCGTTGATGAACTGGGGGCTGGGGGCGTTCCAGGTGAAGCGGATGGTCGTGGAGTTGGTGGCTTCTGCATGCACGTTGCCCGGAGGGACCGTGGGGACTGGAGGAGAGCAGAGAGATGGGGGTGGGGGCGGAGGGGGCACAGTCAGTCTTTCTTGTCCAGTTCAGTAGAGAAAACACAGGGAGGGGTCTGCAGACCCTGCTCGTCCACCCCGCCCCCCGACCTCCCCCGGACTCCTTGCTATATAGACTTAAGACGCCCTCTTTCTCTAGATTAGTTTGGGTTTAATAAAACTTGTTTGACCCATTTCACAGGGTACTGATAAATAAAGTGATGGATATGAAAATGCTCGGGGGTGCTTTTTAGGTACAACACTAAATGTAAGCTGTTTCATGAGCCAGTTAATGTGAGACTTCAGAGAAGGTCCCTGTATCCCCGAAGCCTCGCCTGCATCATGCTCACCCCCAACCTCTTCATCTTCCCCTCAGTCCTCCCACCCTACGGGGTAGCTGGGCACAGCGTGCAACAGCTTGGGACTGGATAAAACAGGTGACACGGTTGAGGCAGTGTGGACTGGACAGGTACAGGACCCGCCAGGCACGGACCTGGGAGAAAGGGAAGCACCGCCTCCTCCACGGTCACCATCCCCACTCACCTCCCTGCAGTGTCCACTCGGTGACTTTGCTGCTGTAGACACCCAGCCCGGCACTGTTGTAGGCGGCCACCTCGATCTCGTAGTTGGTCCAGATGATGAGGTCTTCCAGCAGCAGGTTGTTGACATCAGCATCCGTGATGTTCTTAAATTGGTACCCGACAGGCAGCCCGGCCAGGCAGTACCTGAGGGGAGAAAGCCAGGAGGCAGAGGATCAGAGTCGGCCTGCTTGGCCTCATGCCCAGGAAACTGTCCAACAGAACTTTATGTGATGGCGGAAGCATTCTATACCCGTGCTATCCGATACAGTAGCCGCTAGTGTGTGTGGCTGTTGAGCACTTGAAGTGTGGTTAGTACAACTGAGGAACTAAGTTTGTAGTTTTACTTTTTTTTTAGTTAATTGAAATAGCCACAGGTGACCACTGGCTACCTCACTGGATAACACAGGTCTAGGGGATGTTAGGTCTAGGGGACTATTCTTTTTGATAGGGGAGAAGGACATTGGTGGGATGGCTAACTAGGGACGTGGAGAGTTCCTGGCAAGATCTCTCTGGTTTCAGCTTTAAAGGGTCATTGATGGGAGAGTCCTCTCCAAAGGCTGGGCACATTTTTTTCTCCCTCTAGGCGAGTGACTCCCTTTTTTGACAGTCACTCACTTAGGTGGAGAGAAAAAACCCCAGGCTACCTACTCTACTCATTTCTACCTTCCGCTAGAAAAAAGAACGCATGGTAATAAGAAAGTGGGATCTGTACAGGCACATTCTGTGGTTTATATATGGAGGATGGATAGCTCATAGCAGAACCACAAGGCATACAGACCGAAGAGTCTAATTATTGGAAAATTAGAGGCCCCTAGTTATTTTTATGCATTACAATATCCCGTAGTGGTGGTTCTCAAAGCCTTAGCGAGCATCAAAAACACCTGGAGGGCTTGTTAAAACCCAGACTGTTGGGCCCACTGCAAAATTTGCCATTCAGTAGGTCAGGGGTGGGACTTGAGAACTGGCCTATCAAGTCCTCAAGTGATGCTGATGCAGCCGCAGGGACCACACTTGACCACTGCCCTTTAGATTCACCCAAAACCCACAATGAAATTAACTGATAATGGAGGAGCCAAACCAACAAAAACTTCTTCCAAATTTTGGGAATTCCAGTGCTGTGAGAGTACATGTGTAGGAGAGAGACACGCGAAGTCGTGTAACATTCTGCAGCCAGCCGGAATTCAACACCAATGAGAGTTCTCAGTAACTTCCAATAGCATGCTAATTTTAACTTATGAATTCTCAATTTTAGTAACATTTGATAACTCACTTTTAGGTTACCAGTAAAGTACCCTCAGTCAAATGTAAAAATAAAAGTCTATATAATTGGGCTTCATTTTGCACTATGGACCAAAGAAAGGACTTTTGCTTTTTGACCAGTTCTTCACCCAGTAGTCTCTCCATTCATGGTCCGTCCCAAGGGAAATCTGGCCTGGGATGGAATATTCTTGGTTTCCCAGGTCTTGGCTCCTTGGGGAGTTACCTGTCTCCCTGTGGCCCTACTCCTACGTAGCCCTGACATCTGGCAGACTTGCCCATCCGTATAGCCTTTAGGAGATTATCCTGTGTCTCCTCTCTCAACCATTCCCATTGGTTTCCAAGGCTCTCACTGCTGGAAGTTCTTCTAGATGTCTAACCTAAATCCTTCCTAGCATAGTGTAGGCATTTCTTGCTGCCTCGTGCCTCTTAGATGGAGAAGGACCTGCCATGAATTTGCTATCTTTTCCAATCCATTCCAGACCCTCCCTGTCCCTTTCCCCTCGGGTCTGGGCTGCCCCTCTGGTCCCTGGGGGTGACAGCTACCTGATGATGTAGCCCTTGAGGAGGCCGTTCTGGTGGCTCTCAGGAGGTGGCTGCCACTGGATCATGATGGACTGGTTGGTTCGGCCACTGGCAATGACATTCTGTGGAGGCGCTGTGGGGGGCTCTTCGGGGAGAGAGACCCTGGATAGGAAAACACCAAGAGTGGGCAGGCCTTTCCGCTCTTAGTCACCAGGGCAAATACAGGAGTTTAATGGGATATGAGGAGGCTGAACCTTGCCCTGTTGCATCCTGGGATGACTCTGCACAATTGCTGTGTGCTTTTGGGCAAGTCACTTAACCTCTCTGAGCTTGTTTCTTTCTCTGTAAAAGAAGGATAATAAAGCTCCACCTGCCTGCCTTATAAAACTGGTTTAGGTTCAAATGACACAATGTATATAAGCACCTTTTAAAAACACTGTAAAGCACGAGATGTGTGCATTTCCTGTGCAGTTGAGGGACATGGGTCTCAGTTTCCCATTTCTCAAAGAAGCTGCTGTCAGGGCTGGTGACGTCACGAGTGTTCAAGTATTTTAGAAGCAGGAGTGTTAGAGACACTTCCCAGTAGCCGGCTGGTGGCGTACTTGAACCAGGCCCCCTTCACCCACCAGCTGAGCCCCAGGCTGGGGCGGGGCAGGCGGGGTGGCGGTGGCAGGGTGTGTGGGTGACAGAGCCAGCGCTCCCGCCCGCTTCCTGAGCTGAATGCTATTGCATTTCTTTCTTTGGCAGGGCCAGGGGACACAGTGTTCCACCTCGGTGTATTTTTCACATAACTGACATGCATCCATTAAACACAAAAGTTAATTATTTTTGATGGATGTCTTTCCCTTTTTGTTTATTTTTATGTTTTTGCTTTCTGATGGATAGCTTTCCAAAACGTACTGCACACTCCCATGTCTTTGGAAAGCCTGAAATAAGGGCGATTTAACCTTTATCTGGGTGACTCAGGGCCATTAGTATGAAGACTCAGGAGGAGGATGAATCCGTGTTATACAGTGAGGCCTGAGGGACTGGAGAGGTTGTAGGATGGTCCTTTACACTTGGAAGCCTTCTACTGTTGGGATTTTGTAGCTTGGAAGGGCTTGGGCTGTGTCCATTTTGTTCCCTGTACCACTTCTAGTGGTCCAGACACGGCTGGCCATGTGGTAGGTGCTCAATAAAGAGTGAATGAATAATTCTCCTATAACTGCTCCGTGCCAGCCTGTCAACTGACACTTCTCCCTCCTGCTAGAGTGTCACAGCCCCTGTGACAGCCAGAGAGACTCAAGCTTATTGGAAGTGTGGCAAAACCACAATGATTGATTTAAGCCAGAGGTCTGCATACACACCTAAGAGCATCTTTTAAAGAGCAAAGCACATTCTTGGCTCCCTTGTCAAATATTAGCTGACCGCATATGTGAGGGTTTATTTCTGGGCTCTCCGTTCTGTTCCCTTGGTCTATGTGACTATTTTTATGCCAGTATCATAGTCTTTTGATTACTACAGCTTTGTAGTATAGTTTGAAATCAGGAAGCGTGATGCCTCCAGCTTTGCTTTTCTTTCTCAGGATTGCTTTGGCTATTTGGGGGTCTTTTGTGGCTCTATACAAATTTTAGGATTGTTTTTTCTATTTCTGTGAAAAATGCCATTGAAATCTTGATAGGGATGGCACTGAATCTGTAGATACTTTGGGTAATATGGACATTTTAACAATATTAATTCTTCTCAGTGGGGAACGGATAGTCTCTTCAATAATGGTGCTGGGAAAACTGGACAGCCACATGCAGGAGAATAAAATTGGACACCTATCTTACACCACTCACAAAAATGAACTTGAAATGGATTAAAGACTTAAACATAGGGCCCGAAACTGTAAAACTCCTAGAAGAAAACATAGGACAAAAGCTTCTTGACATTGGTTGGCAGTGATTTCCTGGGTATGATACCAAAAGTATAAGCAACAAAAGCAAAATTAAACAAGTGAGACTACATCAAACTAAAATTTTCTGCACAACAAAAGAAACCATCAACAAAATGAAAAGGCAACCTACGGAATGGGAGAAAACATTTGAAAGTCATGTGTTTGAGAAGGGGTTAATATCCAAAATATATAAAGAACTCATATAACTCAATAGCAAAAAACCAAACAACCCAATTAAAAAATGGGCAGAGGAACTGAATAGACAGTTTTCCAAAGAAGACATACCAATGGCCAACAGGTACATAAGAAAGCGCTCAACAGCACTAATCATCAGGGAAATGCAAGTCAAAAGCACAAGGAGATCTCACCTCACACCTGTTAGAAAGGTTGTCATCAAAAAGACAAGAGATAACAAGTGTTGGTGAGGATGTGGAGAAAGGGGAACCCTTGTGCACTGTTGGTGGGAATGTTAAATTGGTGCAGCCACTATGGAAAACGGTATGGAGGTTTCTCAAAAAGTTAAAAACAGATCTACCATATGATCCAGCAATTCTACTTCTGGGTATACATCCAAAGGAAATGAAAATAGGATATTGAAAAAATATCTGCACCCCCGTGTTCATTGCAGCATTATTCACAACAGCCGAGATATGGAAACAATCTAAGTATCTGTCAATGGATGAATGGATAAAGAAGGTATGGTATACACAATGGAATATTTTTCAGCCATGAGAAAGAAGGAAATCCTGCCATTTGCAACATGGATGGAACTTGAGGACACTATGCTAACTGAGATAAGTCAGACAAGAAAGACAAATACTGTATGATCTCACTTATATGTGGAATCTGAAAAAGCCATACTCAGAGAAACAGAGAGTAGAATGGTGGTTAATAGGGGCTGGGGGGCGGGGGAAATGGGGAGATATTGGTCAAAGGGTACAAACTTCCAGTTGCAAGATTAACAAGTTCTGGGGATGGAATGTACAGCATGGTGATCATTGCTAATACTACTGTATCACATACTTGCAAGTTGCTAGGAGAGTAGAACTTAAATGTTCTCACCACAAAAAAGAAATGGTAATGATACGACAGAATAAAGGTGTCAGTTAAGGCTATGGTGGTAATCACTTTGCAATATATGAGTGTGTCGAACCATCATGCCGTACACTTTAAACTGACACAATGTTATATGTCAACTGCATGTCAATAAAGCTGGAAAAAGCAAAAGTGAAAATAAAACAATAAAGAGCAAAATGCAGAGCTTTGGTGCATGTAGCCTGTGTCGCTGTCATCCTGACCTCTTGCTGGATGTCTTCTTTCTCACTGGAGGTGGCTCCTTGTTCTGTGGGGTTGAGGTGGCCAGAACTCGCCTCCTACATAAGTGTGTGTTACTGCGTGATGTTTTAAAATGGATGACCTGCCGTTTTTATTCAATTTCCATCATTTTAAAAAAAGCTTTGTTGAACGCCTGCTCCGGCCTGGCATCATGCAAGGCATTGGATATGGAGATCCGTGCAGATCCCACATCCCTCTGGAACTTCACGTCCCGTTCACAAGGACGGCAGCCCGTGGGGATGGAGAGCAGAATGAGGCAAGGCTTTGAACTTGCATAGCTCACAGTGAGAGTGACAACCAGATTTGGTTAGTGCTTATCCCATGCCAGGCACTGCTCACAGCTCTTCACTTGTATGCTCTCATCTCATCTTTTCAATAGCCCTGTGGGGCAGCTGTGAATATTGTTACCCCCATTCTACAGACGTGGAGACTGAAGTCTGGAGGAGTCAGAGAGAAGCCAGCCTGGCCCCACTCTGCCATCTTGATTTTGGAGCAGGCAGCCCCTCCCAGCCCCTCCCTCGGTCAGAGACACTAAGACCTGCCCTGGGAGATCCCCTGCTCCCCTCACCTCTCCGTGTCCTTGCTGAACTGCCCTTTGCCCACGTCGTTGACTGCACAAAGACGGAACTGGTAGGAGCGCGCAGGAACCAAGCCCTTGACCATCACTGAGGTAGCCTCGGGGTCCACACTGGCCAGGAGCATGGTCCAGGGGGCATCTACAGGCACAGAGGGTGGGGCAGAGGTGGGCACCTTGGGGGAGCCATGCTTCTTATTCCCCATTCCCAGCAGGGGGCCGGCCTCATGTGGGCCAGCAGACGAGAGCCTCCGCCACTTGGTCCAGTGGAGGCCGGTCACGTCATTTTTCTAGATCCCCTCAGCCCACGGGTCCCAGGGGGTTCAGGGGTCCTGAGAAGGAAGCAAGGGCTCGTAGGAACTGAGATGCATTCCTCTTTTCTCTTTTTTTTTCTCAAATTGATGAGCTTTAGGCAAACTGTATTTAAAACACCATTCAAACTATGCCTACTAATTTTGGAGTTCACAGCTTGGGGACTCGGAGGATACAAATAGAGAAAAATAATCGCCACTGTCTTGGAGGCTTCTGGCGTGGCGGACCTTGAATTTAGCACCTCGCATGCATTATCTCGTTCAATTGTCACAACGACCGAGGAGGCAGATGCCATCACTCGTTTTACAGACAAGGAAACTGAAGCTTCCAGAGGGTTTGCTCAAAGACACAGAACTAGGAAGTGGGGGAGCTGGAGCCCAGCCCTGGCTGACTCCCTGAGTCTGGGCTTCCAGCCGGTGCCCCGTGGCCCTGGCCGCGGTGGAGGGTGACAGTCGGGGAGCCTTACTGTTCTCCGACATCTCCAGGACATAGCGGATCAGGGGGCTGTTGCCGTCAAAGGGCTTGGCCCACGTCAGGTTGATGGCCCGCCTCTCCACTGTGCTGAGAGTTGCCACCGGGTGCTCAGGGGCGTGAGGCAGTTGTCTGGAGGAGAGAGAAATGGTGGGGCCCCCCATGAGGTCTAGAGCTAGGTGACGTGCAGGCACCCAGGACTCAGATTGAGCTTCCACAATACCTGGTGCTCAGCCATAAAACTCGGCCTTCAGACCATCTACCTGGAGATTCTTCTCTGTGGCTTTAGGGGCCCACCTGTCCAAAGCCATACCCAGAGTCCCCTGCTCTTGACAAGGGGCTTAACTGAGCGGGGTTGGGGGAGGCCTGGAGGATGCTTGGGTGTGTTCTGAGAGGTGGGCGGGCCTAGGTCACCCGTGGCCTGGTGGCCTGCCAAAATGAGCCTTCCCGTTGCTGCCTGCACCTCCTTTGGCCAGGGCCCTGGGCAGGCTGCCCTTACCTGACGCGCAGGTGGGCACTGCGAGAGTCATTGCCTCCGGCTGAGAGCACCCGGCAGGTGTAAGTGCCGATGTCCCCCGACCACGTCTGCGAGATGTGCAGGGAGCCGTTTTTGTCCAGGCGGATGCGGGGGTTGCTCTCCACGCCCAGGGTGGCCCCATCCTTCTCCCAGACATACCTGAGGATAAGAAGAACCAATAAGTAAAGAGAGGTAGGGGCTCCTGGGGATGAGTTCAGCCCAGGGCTGGTCTGGAGAAGAGAGCTCCAAGGCAGGCAGGGCCACAGCGGCCCCCTGGGGCTGGTCTTGGGCGGGAGCACGTGGAGGCCTGAGCAGCCCGTGGTCCATCATCCCCGCGGGCAGGGTGCTACATCCAGGAGAGCTAACACATCGAGTCATTATCGGTCATTTACACCTTCAGTTCAGGTCTGGGTCAAAGCCTTGTAGCTTCTGGCCAGAAGCCATCGCCAAGCAGCCAGCACAAAAGAGCGGCAAAAGGTATCCTTCCCTAGAGGTCAGAGGATTACGGCTGGAAGAAGAATGAAAGTCTCCGCATAGATTACAGTTTGGAATTAGTTTTATGAGGAGAATCCTTAGATCGATGCATCACTGTGACAAATTGACTTCAGTGTCCAAAAAATCACTTTAGCTTCGGTCAGTCAGTACAAAAGGGGACTTGAGAAATTACACACATGCCCGTGTCTGACAATAAGAAATACCTTGTCTGGAATTGTTCTGGAGGAAATACAACCATTATTGTCACAAACACATGCGGGTGCCAGCTCCAGGTAGGAAGCCACGCGGCCGACCCCCAGGGAAGGTCGACCAGGGAATGGGGTGGGCCTGAGATACTTTGCAAATAACCTGATACTCACTCACTACCCTGAGCCACACACTCCTAGAACTATCTGGGTTTAGAGAACGTAAGACTGCTACAGAGAATGAGCCTGTAATATTCTAAACTTAAGCTAAAAACAATCAGAAAAGTAGCAAGTACAAAATAAAAGGAAAAAAGAAAGGAAAACACAAGTTTTCCGATAATGGATAACCATGATTAACATTTGAGCATATACCCTCTAGACTCTTCTCTTCTGTCCCCACAGGCAGGGTACCACAGTGCTACTACATCCTAGAGTCAGATTCCCTGGTCAAACGCTGTCTCGGCCACTTACCAGCTTTGTGATCCTGGGTATGTTTGTTTAACCTTGCTGTGCCTCAGTTTCCTCATCTGTCATATGAGGGAAATAATACCACCTACCTCGTGGGGTTGCTGTAAGTGTGTGAGTTAATATAAAATACTTAGTGTCTGAGACTAAGTGATCAATAGAAGTTAGCCATCATTTTATAGTTTTATTGATGCAGCATATTTTTTACATAAATGATATCTAGCTAGCTTATCCAAGCACCCATCCTGATTTTAAAGCTGCTTTTTCCACCCAAGAAAATATCATAAATTCTTCTTAATGTGACATTTCCACACCACGGTTTATGTTAACCACATGGTGCTCCAAATACGGTCCCTCTGTAATCCATCCTGGATTGTGGAGTGTACAGTCCAGTTCCCTGTTTTCTGATATTATAATTAATGCGATGATGAACATCCTTGCAACAACATGATTTTCATACATTCTAAATCATTTCCTCAAGGATAAATTCTCAGCGGTGAAACTGTCAAGTTAAATTTTAAGACTTTTTTATACATATTTACAAATTGCCAAAAGTAATCACCTTCAGTTTCTCTCTTTATCTAGAAAAGAATCACCCTTGCCAGCATTGATGGGATGGGTAGAATTTTCCTTAAAAGCAAATCTAGTCGCAGAGAGTAATTCCTGCTTAAGAAACAACCTGTGGCGAGCAGACGATCTCAGCCCCGGGATGTGGTGCCGTAGGCAGCACACATCAGCACCTGTGAAGTGTTTATGCCAAGACTGAACTCGAATCTATTAACAGTTACTTGAGTCTGATTAGAAATACAAGGGATAGAAGAACAAGTGAACAACATGATGAAGAGGTAGCTAGCCAAATCTAGAAGGTGGCATATTCTACAGCAGAGGTAGGCAAACTATGGCCCACTGCTTGTCTGTGTAAATAAAGTTTTATTGGAACACAGAGATGCCCATTTGTTTCCATATTGTTAATGACTGCTTTTGCACTACCAACGCAGACCTGAGTAGTTGTGACAAAGACTATATGGCCCTCAAAGCCTAAAATATTTATTTACTCTCTGGCCCTTTACAGAAAAAGTTTGCTGACTGCTGTCCTGTAGAACCTTGTTTCTCCAACAAATTAACTGCATGAAAACAAAACAAAAATAAAGGCAAAAAATAAAAGGAGGGGAGGGGGACTGTATAGAATGAAGGAGACACACCAACCAAACACAATGTGTGGACCTTGTTTGAACCCTGAGTTAAACCAACCAACTGTAAAAAGATACCTTTGTGGGGCTGGCCCGGTGGCATAGTGGTTAAGTTCGTGTGCTCCACTTCAGTGGCCTGGGGTTTGTGGGTTTGGATCCCAGGCCTGGACGTACACACCACTTATCAAGCCATGCTGTGGCAGCATCCCACATACAAAATAGAGGAAGATGGGCACAGACGTTAGCTCAGTGACAATCTTCCTCAAGCACAAAGAGGAAGATTGGCAACAGATGTTAGCTCAGGGCCAATCTTCCTCACCAAAGAAGAGAAAAGAAAAGAAAAAAAAAGACCCTTTTGAGACAATCAGGGCAACTGGAATCTGGCCTGGTGTTAGCAGAAGTCAAGGAATTGTTGTCATTGTGTTAGGAGTGATGGGGGCGTGGTTTTTATGTTGAAAGAAATGTATTTTTCAGTAAGAAATGCACATTGACATATTTAAGGGTGAAATTACATGTTTGAGATTTGCATTTAAAATATTGCAGTTAAAAAAAGTGTGGGTGAGAGATGAAACAAGATGGGTAAAATGCTGATAATTATTGAGGCTAAGAGATGGGACATGAGGATTGACAACACTATTCTCTCTACTTTGGGCTATGTTTGAAAATTTCCATAATATAAAGTTAAAAAAAAAAAAAAAAAGAAACAAGCCGTGAGTCCATTTAACTCAGATAGGGTAGGAATTTTCCAAAATAATCTGCAATTATATAGCTGGCTATTAAACCGTTTTGAGGCGTGGTTTTCATGGGTCTTCTCAGCTTTAAATAATATTAGATAGCCCCTAGGAAATCGAAGATGTGCAAAAATATTTAGTTACAAGGACCTTCATAGCAATATTTCTCAATATTAGCAAAAAATTAAATGTAACTCAAATAGCCAGCATTAGGGAATTGGTAACATAAATTATGTTACATCCACACAATGGATGACTGAATAATCATATAATTGAGTTTATACAAAAATATTTATTGACGGGGAAGAGATTCATAATAGGTTCTTAAGTGAAAAAGCAGATTAAGAAATATCGTTTCTAGCTTTTTCAAATGGCACCCATAAATCATTATCTTTAATTGAGGAAAACACAGATGAATCCACTTCTCTTCTTTTTCTCTCTCTCCCTCCCTCCCTCCCCAGTTTTTGGCTTATCTGCATTTTCTGTGTTTTCCTCCTAAAATGAATATCTATTAGCTATACAATAAGAAACAAAAAACAAAGAAAAATATTGATTAATATTAATAATGGCTAAAAGTGGATGCTGAGCCTGTGTCTAGATCTAAGTAAACAGGACAGTGATTTCCCACCTGCAGGTCACTGGGGTCCTGGAGAGGGGCCTGCAGATACACTGCAAGACGTCCCTGAAACCATCTGTTCGTCGAGAATTGTCTAGAGGATGAATACAATGTGCAAGTATTTTCCAAATATCAGTAGATAACACTTTTATAAAGAAAATGCCAATTTATTTTCAAGTGTTGCTGAATTAATACAGCTTTTTATTATAAAATTTTCAATTAATGGATGCTAAAATTACAGCTATTACTTATGTACGGGCCTGAGACCCACAGCAGTATTCCATGGGGGATCTGTGGGTTCTCTTGGAGGATCTTTTTGTAGTTGGTATATTAATTTTTTTCACAAAAATCTAATGAACTCAGGAATAAGCATACTCCAGATCACGTGTTGACAGCGTTCTAACTACATCCACGTGATTTCAAGGCTCATGTCTGCATTTGTGCTGCACCACATGATGGTTGTCCTAACGGGTCAGTGTTTAACATTTAAGGAGCTGTTTCTCAAACTGGGGCCCGTGATGGATTCTCTGAGAACTGGTGTTGGTCTGAAAGTCTAGTCTCCCTCATGCCAACCTTGGCTTCGGGGGTCCCATTTGGGGTGGCCCTACAGACTGTCATATGCCCAGCGGCCACCAGATGGCGCCCCAAGACGCAGTGGCCTCCGGAGCCGAGGGACCGTTACTCCAAGAGGCATCAGTGCGGCCCCTTCCAGCCTCGGTGCCAGGTGCTTGGGCAGTGAAATGCCCATAGAACAGAGAAGCAACATGGAGGGAATGCTTATTTCTAAGGAGGCAGTTAATCTTTCACTCAGCATCCCGGAGCTCAGGGGAGAGCCCAAAGGAACAGTTTCCTCCTGATTTTAGTTCTGGAAGCCTTCTCTGGGGGTTGGCCCAGGTGTCCTCGTCCCAAGCTTGGGAGGGGGCCCGGCTTTTATGCCTTTCTTGGCTGCTTCTGTCCTGGGGTGCCCCTCCTGGGCCTCTCTAGTGGCTTCCACGGTAGGACCTGGTTCCCTCCAGGCCAAGTATCTTGCTGAGTTCTGGGCTCCCATGGCGGGTGGTGGGGTGGCCTCAGGGTGGGCACTTTCCCCTCACATGTGTCCCTCTGACCCTCGCCCTAACACTGCTCCCATGCCTGCTGACCGTCCACTCGGTGAGCAGAGGGTCTAAGACCTGGGGGAGCACTAGCAGGGCGTCCCTGGCCGCAGCGATAGCAACCTGGAGCCTCCACCTCTCACCAGCCCAAATGCCTCTTTCTTCTCCCCTCCCCCCCTCGCTGCTCTCTACCCTTCCCTCCATTTCCCCACATCCCTTCCCACTTCCCTCTGCCCTCTGACACTGCCCAATTCAGTTCAAGCTAGCTGAGGTCCCCAGGTATTTACTTAGCGTCCCCACATCTCAGCCCTGCCACAGGGTGACACTTACGTCCTTGGTGTAGACACTCGCCCACCTACCAGCTACCCCTAGAGCTGCCCCTCCCCCCTCCCTCCCTGGGGCCACAGCAGAGGGAGTACCTGATGGTGACTCGGGGGTCATGGGTCACTCCGCACACCATGGAGGCCTGGGTACCCTTGATGACACTCTGGTCCTGGGGAGACTTGGTGATGCGGGTCCGGGCTGAAAGACAGCAGGGAGACAGTGTGGTGAGAAGGGGTATGGGCTCCAGAGTGACTGCGATGCAGGCGGGTGGGAAGGGCATCTTCAGGTGAACCGGGCCTGCGGATGAATTCTGTGGGTGGCTGAAGGCAGCCCGGCACGTGGACAGGTCTACCACAGTGAACGTCCCAGAATGCAGAAAAGAACAATGTGCTCCCAGGTACTTGAATTCCTGGAAGCCACATTCATAGTGAGGGCTCATTTAATTTTGCTCCCACAAACCCATGTGAGGGATGAAGAAACGGAAATCTGAGGATGATCTAGGCCATATTCCCAGCACATTAGTGGTCCAGCCAGGGTAAAAATAGGCTCGTCTGATTCCCAGTCTAAAGCGTCACCCGCCAGGCCACTGGTGCTCAGCCTGGACAGGTGGCCCACTGTATGTCCATCTTGGGTGCGGATCCCAAGTGGTGCAATCTGAGAGTCAGAGGGGCTTGAGGAGTTCCCTTAAAGCAGGAGTCAGCAAGCTATGGTGTGGGGCTCAAGTCTGGCCGGTGGCCTGTTTGGGTGAAGACGCTTGTACTGGAACACAGCCACACCCACGGGATTAAGTATTGTCTATGCTGCTTTCTCCATGAAACGGAAGAGTTAGCTGAGGAGTTGCGACAGAGACTGTCTGGCCCACAAAACCTCAAGTATTTATTATCTGGCCCTTTACAGAAAAAACTAGCTGATTTCCGCCCTAAAGTATATGAAGACAGCTGTCCGTCACCTCTGTTCTCTCAACTCGGCCAAGCACGTACAAGTCCCCGCTCACCCGGCACCATCTGCAGAGCGTGCCTGGGCCCTCTCCTCTGAATTCATTTGTTCAAGTCCTTCTCACAGGAAGCGCCCTGGTTGGACAGACACGCAGATGTGGTGGTGCGAGTGTGTGCTCGCAGGTGGTTGGTACACACTCAGACGTGGAAAGCACTCTGCACACTCACCCCACACGACCAGGTCGGCCGAAGCCTCGTCGACCCCCCGAGAGTTGGTGGCCAAGCAGGTGTAGGTGCCGGCGTCGGAGATGTGCGTGGGGCTGACGAGCAGGCTGCCGGACTCCAGGAGCGTGAAGCGAGGCAGCTGGACAGAGCCGCTGGCCAGGATGCGCTCCCCTGGGGGCGACACGGGGTGGGCTCAGGCTGCGGGCCCTGTGCCCCCCAGGCAGACCCCGGGCACTCTGGGATGGCTCCGTGACCCCACAGCACATCCCACCCCTCCCCGGCCACTCTGGGCCAGGGCGGTCTCAGGTAGGCCCCCAGCTTTAGAAATGCCAGGAGGGCAGGGGGCTGGTGGGGGCAGGGCTGGGGTGGGGGCTGAGGCCCAGAGAGGTTCCTGACTTGGTGACAGGCACAAGGGCACCGGGTCACAGAGCCGGTGGCCCCGAGCCCAGGTCTCCTGATGTCTCTCTACCCATCATGCTGTCTGCCCTTCACCAGAGAAGGCCAAGGACTGTCTCCTGATGAGCTGGGCACAGCCCTCGGAAGCAGCCAGCACCTGGGCTGGGGGGTGGGCAGACAGCTCTGACAAGGTGGTGACGGGCATCCTGTGGCACGATGCTTCTAGACAGTCACCTTCAGGGGGAGAGGAAAGTGATGGGTGGGGGCAGGAGTGGGGGCAGGGCGGAGACAGACATGGGGGGCAGCCTGGGGGACGGACCTCCCTCTGCACTGGGATCTAGGGAGGCCTGGCGCCTGGCACCTGGAGAGAGAGAGCATGTGCCATGTGCATGAGTGTGCCCGACGCTGCAGTTTTCGTGACTGTATCTATTTTAAAGAAGACCCCACCTCTCTGTACAGAGGGGAATCTCCACATGCAGGCCTGTGGGTAAGGGTGTCTATTTGCACACGTGTGCAGGCATACTGAATAGTGAGCGTGTTAGGTGGGCATGTTTGTCTCTGTGTCGAGGCGTGTGCCTTGGTGGCCTACGTTCAGTGACACAGATTTATCGAGCAGCTCCTGTGTGCCAGCCTCTGCTCTCGGCCCCGGAGACAGCAGAGGGCAAAAGTGAGCCCCTGACTTGGTGGGGGGACAGGCAATAAGCAGATTATCTCGCATGTCAGAAGATGGGGGATCAAGCAGGGAGGGGTTGCCGGGAGGGCCCGGGGGATGGGGTGGGAGAGTCCTGTGGAGAAGGCTCATCTGAGCAGAGGCCTGGAGGCGGGAGGCAGTGACCATGTGTATACACAGACGTGTGTACGTGGGGAGAGTTGGAGGTGAGTTTTCGACACTGAGGAGTGGGGGAGGCACACAGGGCGGGGCGACTTAGGTAGACGGCTTGGGCTTTGCTGACTCAGGTGTCCGAGCTGCCGGGGGAGGAGGGATGGCCTCCTACCTGCACCAGCCACCACCACCATAACATTAACCACCAAGCAGCTCTCATTCATTGGGCTTCACTACTTCCCAGACACAGTACAGGCCCTCCACATGCACTCTCTCATCTAGTCTCCATGCCACCCTGAGGGATGTGTACTATTGTCCCCAGTTTACAGGTGGGGACCCTGAGGCTCAGAGTGAGTAAAGAACTCACCCAAGGTCACAGGTCTCAGAAGATGCAAGCTGGGCCTTGAGCCTGGCAGGGCAGCATGTGGTGCATACTCTGGTATGAAAGATGCCCTCTTGGGTTGCGCAGTGTACAACCTTCACAACTGTACATGGGAAACCCAACCTGGCCAGCTCCAGAACTGAGCTCTGAGGACTGCCCCAAACTGTCACATGGCCACACCCTCCAAAGCAGATCACTCGTATCTACCTTTCTGCCAAGTGATGGCCGGTCGGGGCGCCCCTGAAGTCTCACAAGCCAGCACCACTGACATGCCGTCGATGACCGTGCTGTCCAGGGGGCCCCTGGTGATGTTGGGGGCAATGCCTGCAAACGGAGACAGTGGGGCTTCTTAGCCACACACCAGGAGGAGCCCTCCCAGCCAGAGGGCCAGGTCCTTGTCCTGCCCCTGCCACTCCCGCTGGTGTGAGTCCCTCTGCAGGGAAGGAAGCAGGTGCCCTGAGGGGCCCCAGCATTGGGAAGAAGCCTGGAGGGCCCACAAGGGTTCCCCGCACCACCGCCCTGTGGAAGGACCCAGGCAACACCAGTCCTCGCCCTGCCTGGATTCTCAGGCCTCCATTTGGGGGAAACTGAGGACCCTGCGGGCAGCTCACGCCCTCCATGACAAGGGAAATGGGATTCATCCTTCACTGAATGTGAAATCGAGGCTCCGGCTTCTTAAACGAGAAAACGGTTACGGCCAGGAGGAGAACATCTCCCACTTCCTAAGAGGCCTGGCCGCGGAAAGCCCATCAGCCTGGCGGCTGCGGTTCTCCCAGAGCCAGTACGGCCTTCTCGTTTTCTGTTTCCCGTCCCTAATCCCAGCCGTGGTCAGAGGTGCACGGGAGCAGGGCTTGAATGCGGACGAGCGTCACCGGCACCATCAGAAGCTACAAGTAAGACGGCAGCCCCGTCCCACAGCCGCCTTCGGGGCGAACCCAGCTCCCTGCGCCCGGTGGCTGCCCTGTTTGGGGGCCTCTGTGGGTCTGAGTGGTGAATCCCGAGGGGCTCGGGGACGCCCCTGACCACACATCCTTCTGCTGCTGAGATACGGGGCCCCGCGGAACGTGCGCGTGCACAGAGCTCCGCCACCGTCAGCGCCACCGCGCACGGTACATAGATCGGTATCATCGACCGCTGGCGGAGCTCCACTGCGCGGGCCGGGCAGCTACTGGACCCCCAGAAGAGACTCCCCGAGGGGGAAGGATTTGCCAGTGGGGGAAGTGAGACTAAGCGCTGGTTCTCCTCTTTGGGAAGTCAGCACATCTCAGCTGAGCCGGGGTGGCTTCAGCCCCGCGCGGGAGGGGACCCAGGGACCGCTGCGGTCCAGGGCTGGAGCCTGTGGTTTCCTAGCCTCTTTGCTCAAAGAGCCGGGGAGCCCGTCCTGGGCCCCGGGGCGTGGGGAGGACTCGTGGGGCCTGTGGGAGTGCTGGACTCGGGGCTGCGCAAGAGTGGTATAAGTGGCCAGAGCCGCCCCGGGGGCCGGGGGACAGTCCCCCGGGATCCCCTCTCTGCACACTGCCCGTGCTGCTCTCCAGAGGCCCCTGGCTTGGAGGAAAGCTGCCTCCCGGGCGGAGGGACTCGGGCAGGACAGGAAAGGCCCCACTTACTGGTGACGGCCAGGTAGGTGGAGGTCTGCGCCTCGCCGGCCGCGTTGCGGGCAAAGCACTGGAACATGCCGGTGTCGTCGGGCGCGAGCGCGCTGATCTGCAGGCCCCCGTCGGCTCGCTGCCGGAAGCGGCTCAGCCTCGCCACCTCCACCGCGGCCGCGTCCTTGTACCAGGCGATGGAGGGCGGGGGCACGCCTGCGGGAGACGCGGGCCCGTCAGCCGGCCTCCTCCCTCCGTCCCTCCCCGCACTGAGGGTGCTCAGGCAGAGGCTGGGGCCAGAAGTCTGCAAGGGGGTCCCTGGGGTGTCTTGGTCTCTAGAACCTTCTCAGAGGTGCCACTATTGGTCTTGGGAGAGGAGGAGGATGTTCCTGGAGCGGCAATTCTCAAATTCTTATATAGTAGGCGTTTCAAGAAAATTTAAAAGATCCCAAGGTTGGTTTAGCTTGGAAATGCGGGATTGGACAAACATTTTTTTTAACAGCAAACTAACATATTTAGCAGAGCCTTTTGCATGCTCTGGGAACCTCCAACTGGGGGTTGGTTACCCAAATCCACATGGCCATAGAGCCCCATGTCAAGGAGCATGCAGTGGGGGGGCCAGTGTTCCTTGGGGGGCTCTCAGAAGCCCCCTCCTGCTTGGCCTGCACAGGGAGGTGAATGGGGGGTGTTCCCCTTGCCCCTCAGCCTCACCCAAGCTGCACCCAGGCCTGGCCCGCTCTTCCCACAAGTATCCTCCACCCTCCTCTCTCCCTCTGGGTCTCTGCTCAAAAGTGACTTTTCCAGGGAAGTTCCCACATCCTGCTCAAGAGAGCACCCCATCACTCCGGGCCCCCAGGCCTGCTCTTTTCCTTCCTTTCCAGCACTTTTGAACCCGACATCCTATGAAACCGTATTTCATCCGTTCCACGGTGCACATTCTTTACGTTGTACCATCTCTGCGATCATGATGTGTCTTCCGATCGACAGCATGTCATAATTTAATTGGCAGTCTTTTTTCTTTCTTAGTGGTACATAAAATAATGGGGCACCTTACAACCCATGGCATTTCAGATGGAAAGAAAAAAGGCATCTTTATTTGTTTATGGGGTGTCTGCCTCCCCCCAAGAACGGCAGTTCTGCAATAGCAGGGACTCGCTGTTTGGTTTGTCTCATTTCTCCCCGGCCTTGAGAACAATATAGGCACAGGGCAAGTAAGCCCTCCAAGAATGTTTGTTGAAGGAATGAATGGATCTTCACCTCCCCCTGGGGGAGGGTCTCAGAAGGGGGTCATTATTCACTCCTCCACTGCAACCCTCCCTCCTGCCGGAGCACAGTCGGCCTCTCTGCTTATAGCAGACCACGTCCCACTGGGCACGCCCTCCCCTATCATCCCAGCATCCTGGATTTCACCCTGGTTTCAGGCTGCCTTTGGTTCAGCTGCACCTGAAGGATGGAGGGTGGAAATGGGAAAAGCAGCATTCTTTTTTTTTTTTTTTGAGGAAGATCAGCCCTGAGCTAACATCCGATGCCAGTCCTCCTCTTTTTTGCTGAGGAAGATCGGCCCTGGGCTAACATCCGTGCCCATCTTCCTCCACTTTACATGGGACGCCGCCACAGCATGGCTTGACAAGCAGTGCGTAGGTGCACACCCGGGATCCGAACCTGCGGACCTGCGAACCCAGGGCCGCCGCAGTGGAGCGCGTGCACTTAACCACTGCACCAACAGGCCAGCCCCAAAAGCAGCATTCTTCAGGAGCTCTGACGAGGGGCGTGAAGTAGAAATGTTGGGGGAGGAGATGGAGTGAACAGCCCAGACACCAGGCAGAGCTTATGAGGCACATCTCAGGCGAGATGCACCCCAGTTCTAGCAGTTCTGACATTATGGTAATTTGGCACTGTCTACAACTCTCAAATTATGGGCAATTTGGGCCTGTCACCTATCCTGAAATTATGGTAATTTGGGTTCATTTGTAACCCTCAAGTGATGGTACGTGGGTTGATTTCCAGCCCCGAGATTACGGTAATTTGGCCTGTTTGTTTCTGGGGTATCTGCTCACAGCCAGATTGACGCTCTACTCAATGATGTGGCCTCGAGAAGGAGGCAGAATTTAGAAAAGTCTGTGACAGGGACAGGAGAGGCTGAAGGTCTGGGGATCCTTGTCCCCCCCCATCCACGCCACTGTGTTACCTTTGGCCCGACAGGGAATGTCCACCACTTTCTCCATCTCCGCTGTGATGTGTCTTTCTGGCTCCTTAATAAACTGAGGTGGTTCTGCAGGAGGAAGGACCAGGGGAGGGGATCAGAGCCATGCTCCTTTTGATATAGCTACCGTGCAGGTTGCCCTTAAGTAGGCCCCAGCCATGCTGCCCCTACCCCTCAGGGGAGTCCCAGCCGCCCCACTCCCTCTCACCCAGCACAGACAGGTAGGCTCCACGGATGACAGAGGGGACGCTGCTGCTGCGCAGGATGGCCTCACACTCGTAGTAGCCGGAGTCGCTGCCCGTGGGGTTGGGGATGGTGAGCCGGCGGCTGTAGTCGCTGATGCCGCCTGACAGCAGCACCCCATCCTTCTTCCAAATGATGTGCAGCTTGATCAGGGGCCTGCAGGGGGTGAGAGAGGCAGCGCTCAGCCACAGGGACTTCCGGAGGCCTGGGGGGCAGAGCAGGAGGTGATAAGGAGTGTGGGCCCAGGGGCCAGGCCTCCTGGGCTTGCCCACCCTCCCCGCCACTTTCTAGATGCAAGTCCTTGGGCAAGTGCCTTCAGGGATCTGGGCCTCAGTTTCCTCATCTGTAAAATGGGGGCAACCATGGCCACCCAGGGGTTTTTGTGAGGATGGGTGCAGGAATGCAGGTGAAGCACGTGGCGCAGGACCCGGCCCCTGGGAATAACTCGGTGCATGGGGCTCTCCAGGGCAGGAGAGCAGCCTTCGCTGTGCATCTGTCTTTTGCTCTCCCCTCTGCGCCGTGGACAGGAAAGTGTTAAGGGTGAGGGACAGCGACAAGGAGAAACCCAGGGTTTGGAGATGGGGAAACAAAGGCAGGCAGATGGCCATCCCCGCCGCGCAACTTCGAGAAGGGGTGAGGGTATGAGTTGGGCCCCCTTTCCCACCACCACCAACCCGGCACCCCACGGCCCCCAGATGTGGTTTACGTGGCTCTCCTGTTTAGCCCCTGGCGGATCCCCGAGGGCCGATCTGCCAAGTGGGGTCTGTGCTAATTCCATGGGGTGTTCAGAGGAGTCCCAGGAAAAAGGGGTTCCGGGGTGAAATAAGTTTGGGGAACACTGCCTCGGGGGCGGCCTGTTGCATTTCAACCCTATCAGCCAGCAGGTGACCCTGGGCAGGTGGCTTGCCCTCTCTGGGCTCTGGGGTAGTGACACCCATGCTGGGTGGTGGTTGTTGGGAGAAACTAGGAAGTGAGGGTTGTACACAGCTAGGAAGGGCTGCAATTGCGCCTGATCCCGGGTCTGCCCTCTCAACCACCACGTGAATTGTCTCCCGCATGGCTTCCCTCTTGAACACGTCTGCATGCCAGGAGGGCACTGCTGGCAGAGACGACCTGCCCCCTCTAGGCTGCTGTAAGGGGTGGAAGGGAGTGGATCCCTCACTGGCCCCAGATCCTGGGCTGAGATCTGCTGCCCCCTAACTTCCACTCGAGAGGAGGGCCTGGTATCTCCTCTCGGGCCACAGAGGACGAGCCGGGACAGTAGCCAGCATGTCCACCCGTTGTCCCTTCTCGGCTAAATTCTCCATCTCCTTTCATGGGTCCTCGTATGATATGGCTTCCGGACCTTTCTGAATCCCGACTGGTCTCCTCAGAACCGCTGGAACACCCACTGGAGTCAGGAGTGAAGAGGAGTGGGGGGAGCACCACCCACCTGGCGTTGGCCACACACTCCAGGGTCACCTCTGAGGTCCCGGCCACCACGCTGGTGTTCTTGGGAGGAATGATGATGGTGGGAGCGATGGGGTCTGCAGGACCCCCTACATCTGGGGAGAGGGCAGGTGTTAGTGGGGGACAGAGGTTGGAGATCTCATCTGTGCCTGGCCCCCATGAGAGGCTGACGCCACGGGAGACCTCTGTCCTCACGGAGTCGGGCAGTGGCCATGGGGCAGCCGCCTGAGCAGCCCCAGAGCCGAACCTCCAGACACTGACCCCAGGGTCCCTCTCCCCTCTCCCCCTCCTCTGCTGATGGGTCTCTAGTGTCCAGGGAGCATCCCCTGGAGACCTCCAAGGCCTTCCCCACTCCTCCTGTAACGCAACTCCATCCTCCTCCTCACCCCCCAGTCCTGTTTACTTCCCCATTTTCCACCTCTTTCACCAGAATGCAAACTCCCTGTACTGGGTTGAATAGTGTCCCCCTAAATTCATGTCCACGGCATGTGAACATGACCTTATTTGGAAAAAGGGTCTTTGCAGATGTAATCAAGTTCAGATGAGGTCCTACTGCATCAGGATGGGCCCTAAATCCAACATGACGTGTCCTTATAAGAGGGAATTTTAGACCCAGAGACACAGACACACGGGGGAGAAGCCACACACAGACGGAGGCAGAGATTGGAGTGATGCAGCTATAAGTCATGGAACACTAAGGATTGTCAGCAACACTGGAAGCTAGGAGAGGCAAGAAAGGATCCACCCCTTGAGCCTTCAGAGAGAGCCGGGGTCTGCCGACACCTTGATTTCAGACTTCTGGCCTCCAGAACTGTGGGAGAACACATTTCTGTTGTTATAAGCCACCCAGTTGGTGGTACTTTGCTATGGTAGCCCTAGGAAACTAACACACCCCCTCAGCAACGCCCCCCCCTCAAAAGCCAGCATTGAGCAGAGCCCCCTCCTCTATGAAGGTTTTGCAGACGCTCCCCCTAGTAGAAGCGGCCCTAGGAAATTAATACATGCCCGGAGGAGGAAGCTCAGGGGTCTTTGCTTTGGACTGACTGTGTCCCCCCAAATTCAGATGTTGAAGCCCTAACCCACTGTGAGTGTATCTGGAGACCGGGTCTTCAGGAGGTAACTGGATTAAATGAGGTCACAAGGGTGGGTCCCTAATCCATCAGGGCTGGCGTCCTGATAAGAGGAGGAAGAGACCACCAAGCTCTCTCTCCCTGGCCTATGGGGACACGAGGAGAAGGCGGCTGTCTGCCAGCCAGGAAGAGGGCCCTCAGCAGAAACCAGCCCTGCTGGTACCTTGATCTTGGACTTCCAGACTCCAGAACCGTGAGAAGTAAATGTCTGTGTTTAAGCCCAGTCTGCAGGATTCTGTGACAGCAGCCCAAGCTGACTGGACAGTCTCGCTCACCCCCAGTTCTCCAGCACAGGAACGATGTCTGCACACAGTAGGTGCTCACATATATTTGTTAGGTGAACGCGTCAAGGGAACTCGAGCTATCGCTGTATAACTTCCAGGGTCGGTGACTGACATTAAAAAGAACTTATCACGAGTGGGCTTTCTTAACACAAAACAAAACAACACCCCAGATCTTCTAATAGAGGCGGTAGAATTCCCTTTCTTACGTCTTGAGTTAAGAAGCGGCCCGTTCTTCTCTCAGTGGGTCAGCATAGGCCCAATATTGGCAGAAACGCCAATATTCTCCGTACCCCTGCTCCACCGCTCCTGAAAATACACCCACCGAGGACTCTTCCTCTCACGACAAATCCACCCAGTTGGCCCCTTTTCCAGGAGGCTCCAGTGGCGGCAGCTGTAATGATACGCACGGCCCTGGGGCGACAGCATAGGACATCCTTTACGGGGAGGGAACGTGGCGGCCCCCCTGCCGCTCTGGGCCACCCCTGTTGGCCCCGGGCACACTTTCCCGCCTCGACTCAGGCCTTGCTGGAAAAGGCCAGGTAGAATGGGAATAAAATGTAAAAAATAAAATAAAATGAAGGGGGAAGAAAGGAAGCATATAAAGCAAAATAATTGCAACAATATAAAAGCCTCATGTAGGTGCCATAAAGAGCGATCGGATTGAAAGCTGCTGATATAGCTGAATCCATAAAAGCGTGCTCTAAGTTGTTTATCACATGCCGGCCGCGCAGGTACCGCAGCCAGATTAATGGGGCACGAGGAGGGGACAGACAGTCGGAGCCCAGGCGCCAGCCGCACGGCGTAGCCAGATAAAGAGAGAGCCCTCGAAGTTTAAAAATACAAGGGCCGCCCGGGGCCCTGCCTGCTGGTCGGCTTTGGGAGGGGTGGGGGGGCCACACCACCCAGGGACCCCGGAGGTCTTGTCCAGGCCCAGGCGGAAGCCTGTGGGGCTCGAGGGGAGGCACCAGCGATGCCCTGGGACCCTGGCCAGTGAAGGAGGCCTGGGGGGTCAGAAGACCTGGTCCAAACCTTGCTCTGCCCCAGGTGTCCTGGGGGTGACCGCGGCACGTCACTTCATCCTGCCGAGTCTCAGTTTTCTCAGCAGCAAAATGGGGATAAAAATCTCTGCCTCTCGGGGTGTGTGGGTTCAGCCCTGAGTCTACAAGTCTTTTCTGAGTGTGTGCCAGGCACCAGGGATTCCCCACCGAGGGAGCCGGGCAGGGGTCTGTCCTCACAGAGTGCATGGTCTGGGAGGAAGCAGATCAGTGCTCATACTTTTAAAGGATCAAAGATGCACGTGAGGGTGCCGCCCCTGAGGGGCGGCTAAGCTGGTCTGGGGCGAGCACCCGGCACATACAATGTGCTCAATAAGGGACAGTCCCCCATCCTGGGGGTCTGCCTGCCTGTGCTCGGGGAGAGCCTCCCTACCCCCCACCCCCCGACCCGGCCCGGACCAAGTGATGGACCCAGAGGCCACCAAGAGGTGAAAGTCACTGACCCTCAGGGGGCTCTCGACTGAGGGAAAGAGAGCACGCGTGTTAAGTGCTACAGGAGAAAGGCACAGCCTCAAGTGCTCCCTAGGGACTCACAGGAGATGGGGAGCTTGAGTGGAACTCAGAGAATGCAGAAGGAGGGACGGATGTTCTGGAATGGGAGCACTGTGTGAGTGAAGGTATGGGCACGATGCTGGGGTGGCCCTCGGGGCACCAGGAGGGATGCGGGAGGACAGTCACAGAGGTGATGGATCCTGGCCCTCATGCAGCCCCTTCCCCAGCCCACTGCCCTTTGCGTCCAGGAGAAAGGGCTAAGTGGTTACAGCACTTTTCCTGGCTGTGCCCAGATGTGTCCTCAGAATCCTTCTTAACACAGTGGCAACAGTGGATCAGAGCTGGCCTCTGAGGTGACACACATTTTCCATCCCTGCTAGGGAGAGTAAAGGCAGATTTGACTGGGAGAGTTATAGGATTTATAGGTCAGCCTATGGGCTGGAAGTGAGCCCTAGGTGGGCATTGTGGTAACAGAGGGGATGACAGACAGGAGGACAAAATCAACAGGGCCTGGTGATGGTCTGGGGGTGGAGGGAGACAGACGGGCAATGAGGGATTGGAGACTAAATGCCTGGAGATGGGGCCCCCTTTACAGAGAAAAGTGATGCCCGGGAGGAACTGGTTTTCCAAGGAGGGCGATGAGTTTGGATTTTGTCTCTGAGTTTGAGATGGTGGTGCCGTGTCTGAATGGACGTGTGTAAGAGGAGATGTCCAGAGACACGGGCAGGAGCCTGGCTGGGGAGGCGGACGGAGCAGCCATCTGTGCAGATGTGAGGAGGAGGACGGTGAGACTGGGGAGCAGGGAATCGGGGGTGGGGGACAAAGGGCTGAGAACCAGGTGTTGGCTTGTTGGCTTCAGGGGAGGAGGAACAGTGATGGAGACGGGGAGATTGTGAGAGACAGGGCGTGGGCGCAGGTCCTGGATGCTTCGGGAACACGGTGCCAGGGACGGGGGGTCAGTGGCACCCAGTGTCCAGAGCAGTCAGGGAGAGTCAAGATGGAGAGCGGTCAGTGGGTCTGCCACCGGGAGGTCACCAGTTTTGAGGGCAGGAGACTGCGTGCAGGGGGCTGGGGGAGAGCAGGGGATGTGGTGGCATGGGACTGGGGGTAAAGGCCAAGAGGGAGGTGAGCTCAGACAGTGGTTCAGAGGACTCCTTGTGGAGCAGAAGAAAGGGGACGACAGGATACTCTTCAGCGGCCAGCGGCCGAGAGGGGGATTTGTTTCCCCTGAGACTGAGCGAGGCCTGGGCCTGAGAGGAGCTGGGCAGCACCTAATGCTGCAAGGTTTGCGGCCAGGAAACCTGGTCCCGTTCCTGGTTTGTCCGTCAGTAGTTACTAGAGAATGTCACTGGGAAGCAGATTGCTTTGGCTCTGTGGCCTCTGCTTCCTCAGCCCTACCATCTGTAACTTGTGGGTGATAATAACCACCTGCCTCCAGTGACTGCTGTAAAGACTGAATCGGCGATTTCAGCAGAGTGCCTGGACGGTGCCTGGAAGTGGAGGCTCGTGGTGTGATGTGAAGGCCCAGGGGGACAGCTCGGAGTGGACTGGGATGTCAGAGAGGCTGTGGGGTGGCAGGGACTGGTCCTCAGCAGGATCCGCCTGACTGTCTGGTGGTCTCTGCTGGGGAGGGCTGTGCCGAGTCATCTCCTCGCTCACCGGGTCTCCGATGACCGGCTAGGGTGAGGGGTCAGCCTGGCTGTGCTCAGGGACGGAACACCAGACCTCTGTCTCATTAGATTCATGCTCTGGACAGTGGAGTGAACAGCGCCCCAAGGGCCAAGCCAGGAAAGTCGCATGCAAACCAGAGCAAGGAGGAGGGCGTCTTCCACGTGAGCTCCCGATGCGGCCCAGGCCTCAGGCCTGGAAGAAGCATGGGGCTCCCCACACAGGGCAAAGGTGGATCCCACTGCCCCAGGACGGCTTTGATAACAGGCACCACCGCGATCCATTCTCCCCCAGTCACCTCATTTAATCCTCCCAACCGTGCTCTGCCATTGGCATCTCATCCTAGAGGAGGAAACCGAGGGTCAGAGACCACAGGCCTCCCCTGGGCGACAGGTCAGGTGAGTGCTGGGGTGGGACGTAGACTGCTCCCCTCCTGGGCAAGTTCCAGCCGCCCACGAGCCTGGACCCACCTGCCCCTCCAGCACAGGGGCCACGAGCCACAGGTGGCTACGAGCTCTTGAAATGTGGCTGGTGCCCTTTGATTTAATGGGATTTAATTATGTCTAATTTACATTTAATTAAAAACAGATCCCCAAATCAGTTATTAGAACACTTTTAAGTATGTGCGGAACAACTTGGGCATCCGACCCTACCTTTTCAGCTGTAAATTTTATGAAATCTAAAAATAGATCACATATTTCAGATAAAAATTTAGCATCCAAATTGAGATGTGCGGGGAGTATAAAATACACATGGGTTTCAAAGACTTGGTACAAAAAAAATAATGTAAAATATTTCATTAATATTTTTCTATTTTGATTGATTGTATGTTAAAACGGTAATATTTTGGATATGTTAGGTTAAATAAAATATATTAATAAAACTGTCACCTATTTCTTTTTCCTTTTTTAAAAATGGGGCTACTGGCAAATTTTAAATTACTTATGTGGCTTATATTATATTTCTATTGGACAGCGCAGCTCTCATCCCTGGGTGTGGGGCCACCACCCAGATATGGACTTTTCTAGAGCTGTGACAGTCCGTGTGAGGTCACCAGGGTGATACCTGGGCAGGGGGCCACTCTCAGGGTCCCTTGCTCTCTCCTTCTCCATTTCTGAAGAGCATGGGTGTCCCCCAGAGGCTGCTAAGAAGCTGAACGCCCCAGAACAGAGGAGGGGTGAGGGGTGAGGAGGGGAGAGGACGAGGAGGGGCGAGGCTCAGCGAGATAAATGAGAGGAGATGGAGCTGGTGGTGGGCGAAGTGGCAACTGCTCCTGGTAAATTGGCTGGCAAGCAGGCAGGCCGGGGGATCTGTGTCACGACAGGAACAGGGTTTTGAAGTGCAGTTACTCGTGGGAGAAGAAATTAGCTGAAAATCAGCTGATTCTGCCCTCTATCCAGTACAAATCACTGCGTGAGAGCGTGAGGGTGATGCAGTGGGAGAAACAGACAGCTGAGGGAGGCTCGGGCAGACGCGGGGGTCAGGGGGCCCTGCCGGCCTCCCCTGGGCTGGCCAGGGTTGGGGGGATTGACATGGAGCAGAGAATGAATGACCCCCACAGTGGGCGGGGAGAGTAGCTGGTTTACTCCCGTGAGCAGGTTAGGTGCTGGGGGCGGAGCACAGAGCAGGAGGCTCCAACCTTTGGTCTCGGGGTAAACTGAGTCACCCAGGAAGATATCTGCCTTGACTCGGACCGTGAACCTGGCCTGTTAACAAATGACTGGATTCCATTAGACTCCAGGTATCCTACTCACTGAAAACTATGTGAGGAAAAGCATCTCCCTCCAATGATCAAACTCCTTTTCCTATAGAAATAGCAGCCCCAGGTGATGGGCTGGGCCCCAGCCGCTGGGTATAGACCGAGACCCTGGCCCAGGTCAATGTCAGAGGCTATACACGTGACCCTGATGGGTCAGTATCCAGCATGGGACACTCCTCCCTGCATCCAGATCTCTTTCTTGGCAGACTGGAACCTGGGGTGAGAGGGAGATAACTGCTGAAACCGGAAGGGGTTCTGCTGGTGCTCACAGGCCCAGGAATGGGCATGGTAGGGGTTGGGGAATGTTCTGGGCTCTTCCGGCACCGTCAGACAGAGGCTGGGATCAGAGGAAGGACACCGGAAGGCTCCCTGCTGACCTGAATCCTCATTTGCTGCTGGTGGGTGCGTCCCAGCTCGACCATGGATGACAAATGAGACTTGTTTTTAGAGCAGGAGTTGTACAGATGTGGAGGGATGTGAACATCTGGCTCCCCCAGCCTGCATGGCTGCTGAGCTGCTGCAGGAGGCTCTGGCCTTATCCCACACACTCTGTGATTCGCAGCCTGGGTCTGCTGCCGGAGCCACCTCACCCACCGTCTCTATCCCAGGGCTGGAGGATGGAGGGAGGGAGCTGGCCTGGGGAGAAGCAGGCAGAGCGGCCGTCCCTAACATTCCATCATGGATCAGAAACCTGCCTTCAGTCTCGGCGGGACAAATGCCTCTTTGCCTTAGGAAACTCAAGGAGTCACCCTTTAAATTTGCTACCTTCTGCCACTGGGGAGAGCTTTGCCTCTCTCTTCCGGGATGCTGGGTGGTCTCTGGGGATGGGCAGAGGGGTACTTTTAGGCAGGAGCCTGGGCAGAGAGCCTGTGTGCCCATCAGCAAGGGTGGCCTGACTCCAAGGAGAAGCAGCGCCTTTTATGTGTCAGCTGAGCAGAGGCAGTTAGTGTATTTCTTTAAAACCGAGCTTCCCATCTCCTGGTGGCCTCTCCCTGTCAGCACCTGGGCCCGAGGGGCAGTTGTAACCCACGCGTGCACACACTCTCTCCCACATGCCACCCTCTCCCTGGGCCTCCAGTGGCCCCGCTAACAACCAGGCTAAGCATCCCCTCTCCTGATGCAGGATCTCAGGCTCGTCACGGGAACGGGGTCCAGAACTCGGCTCCCTCCTTGCCTCTGCCCTCACACTCACCCCCAGCTGCGGCTCCTCCTCTTCGGGAGGGCTCCTCCCCTGCCCTCCCCCTGCCTCCCCCTCCACCACCATTCCGTCTTCCCAATGACCCCCTGGAGCCCCATTCCCAAGATTTAATGACGCGCTCCCTCCACACTCAGTCCCAGGCCCTGCCGCTCACTTACTCTCCACCGCGAGCGTGATGGGCTGGCTGGTTTTGTTGTCCCCATTCTTGTCATTAACAGCCTGCACATAGTAGCGGCCTGCGTCGGGAGCCACCGTTGACAGGATGACCAGGGTGTTCTCCAGGGTGATGGCTCTGGGAAGAGGAAAAGGACTTCTCTGACAGGGGCCCGACGGGCTCTGAGCAGCCGGGGATGGGAGCAGTGGGGACACGAAGCTGGTGGCTGGACCCTACCTCTCCCCGCAGCCGCCTCCCGGAGCCCCTCCTCCAGCCCACCTCCCGAACCACCTACTGCCCCAAATCCAGCCACGTTTAGTCTGTAGAGAATCCAACACACTGCCAACTCTGGGGATCAGACCCAAATACAGCACATGCCCAGAGGGCTGAGCCCGCCGTCCACATGAAACTTCCCTGCCCCCACCCTAAGCCTAGGCTACCGACCCCAGCTCCCTCAACACTCTGCCCTTTCCCCCATCATAGCATCGACGGCTGTGTGTGGTTATCTCTGCATCAGGAGCAACCAGACACTGAAGAAATGTCCTGGAATGAATGAATGAATGATGAATGAAGGATGAGCGATGAAAATGAATTTAGAAATGAGCAGGACCATTCCAGAATCAGTGCCTTCACCTAATCCTAAATTGGTTTAGGTTGATTCAAAGGCCACAGGTCGCCTGTAACACAGACTTCCGGGTTCACTTCTCTCTCCAGCCCCCTCTTAAGGTGTCTGTTTCCATCTCCCTGAAGCCAGTCAACAAGAGTGGGGTTGGCTGGGCTGGCTGAGAGGAAAAAAGGAGGCTGGCTGGGCAGGGGGGTGCAGACATGGGCTGTTTACTTCCAAGCTGGTTCCCTCCATTGGGATCCCATCATGCAGCCCCCAGCACCCAGGTCTGCAGGCAGAGAAAAGTGGTCAGCCAGGGACCCAACTCGATGTGGGTGAAATACAGCCAGGAGCGCTGCCCACACGGCTCTGCCCGGCTCCTCTGTTCACCCGTTCTCCCAGCGAGAAACAAAACCATTAGTTTGTCAAGTCTATCTCTGGATTTTAATGTGATGTGCCCGAGACAGCTGTTAAACATTCTTAATGTTAGTTTAACAAGGACAAATCCAGTTGAATTCTTTTCAAATTTTCCCATTAGGTGAATGTTACAGAGTTTTAAACATGCTCTCAAATAAACATCCCCACTAATGCCTCTCCAGCCCACTTTCTCCCAGCCGGGGTACGCTGGTGCCCCCTCTCTCACGGTTTTGGGGGTTCATGTGCTGAGTCTCACACCGTCAGCGGAGCTCCGGGAAGTAGGAAGGCCCCTCCTGCCCCGATTTTTGGGTACCCTAATGATGGCCTTAGCTGATGGGAGATGGGACAGAGCCAGGCTAAAATATTTTAAAAGTGGCAAAACTAGGACAAGGATGGTGACCATTTCCTCACGCGGGTGTCTCCTGCAGGGACCCTTGCCCTTTAGTGTAGCTTGTGGGGGTGGGCGAGGGTTGGGGGCAGGGAGGCTGGGCTCTGGCCGCAGCAGGGAGTGAGCTCTGGAATGGAGCTCCGGCCCCAGCCCCTAAGGAGCATGCAACCTCCTCCTTACTTGGCCTCAGTCTCCTCATCTGTGGAAGGGGTAGAAGCAGATGCCTGTGAGGTTCCTTCCAGCCCGGAGGCTGAGATTCTGATTCCTGTCGCCGCTTCTGCTCTTTCCCCACTGGGGCCTGAGGCTGTCCCCTCCCTCCACACGGCCCTCACCTGGCACCCAGGCCAACATCAGGACTGATCTGATGCTCAGCTGTGCACGTGGACCACATGGCTCCAGCCTCCCCAGCCACTCCCATTGCAGGGCACCGTGGGCGCAGGGCACCGTGGGCGCAGGCCGAAGGAAGCGTTCGACAGGTGGGTGCACGGGGCACGGCCTAGTCCCACTCTCTAGTTCACCTACCTCTCCTGAGCTCCCTTTTGGCCTCCAGAGAAGGGGCTCCCACCTCCAGTTCCTTCTCTCCTAGACCAGGAAGACCCTCCCCACCCCCCGTTCTCTCCTTTAGCTGTATTTTGTCTATGTTATGATCGATCCTTCTAGGTCAGTGGTTCTCCACCAAGGGTGGCTTAGCCCTCCAGGGGACATCTGGCAATATCTGGACAACTTGTGGTTGTCACAGCCGTGGGGGTGCTACTAGCCACTGGCAGTAGAGGCCAGGGATGCTGCTAAGCATCCTACAGTGCACCAGACAGCCCGCAAGATGAACTAGGCCCAAAATGTTGATTGTGCCACGACTGAGATACCCTGTCCCGGGGGGATGACATGTCGAGGTGGCAGAGATGGTCACTGTCCATCTCAGTTTCAGGAGCCCCTTCCATAGGGTACAGACAGTCCCCGACTTAACGATGATTCGACTTATGATTTTTCGACTTTACGATGGTGCTAAAGCAATATGCATTCAGTGGAAACCGTACTTCAAATTTTGAATTTTGACTTTCCCCAGGCTAGCGGTATGCAGGTTTACTGGGATGTAACCCCACTGTAAGTCAGGAAGATCTGTGCTGTAGTTGCTGGGAAGTCAGGGGCCGCCCCTTCTCAGCCCCCTAGCATCCAGGCGGGGCCATGTGGCTGAGCTCACAGGATATGGAGAAAGGGATGTACACCACTGCTAGGCCTGGACCACAAGAGCCCCTGCAAGATCCCCACGTTCTTCTCCACCCCGGCCCCCATCAGAGCGGGGCAGTGGGGAAGCCCAGTGCTAGTGACGGCAGAGCTCCCTCAGCCAGGGTCCTTGAATGACTGTGGAGGAGAGTGCCCCCCATCCCTCGCCCATGGAGGGATTTGGAGCAAGAAATACACTCCTATGTGGGAAGTCCCGGGGATTTGGGGGTCTGTCTGTTATTGCTGCTGGCACTGCCTTGACTGGCACTAGAGGAAAGCACTCTGCACCGGGACCCACGGGGCCTGGGTTCGAGTTCCGAATGTGGAGTGGAACAGGAGGCAGAGAGGCTGGAAAGTGCTGATGGCCTTTTGATCCTCCCTCCCTCTGCCCTCCCAGATGGCTAAGGAAGGTCCCTGGGCTTACAGCCCTCTGTGGGATGACCATCCCCTTGATAGATGGTTCTGGAACAACCCTGTACCTCACTTCCAAGGTGCACAGGGCTGTTCCTGGCACTCAGGAGGCTTCCGGCCTGCTGCACCCAGACAAACCCATACTGAAAGAAGATGGCAGGAGAGTTCTTGTGGGGCGTGGATGTCAGGGCTCAACTCTCAGGCAGGGGCTGGGTTACATTTTTCTGCCATGATCCTCTGGTTTCAATTTACTAGGTCTCTCCCGCTTCTCTGACTGGCTTAGCTCCCATCCCACCTTCCATCCACGAGTCCTATTAAGCCAGCCCTTTTTCCTCAACTCCATGGGAGCCCAACTGATAATTTAATTAAGAATAAAATAAATCATCCTAGAACCTGCCCGAAGCCCCGAGCATGTGTCGTTGTTAAGCATCTTGTCTCCTTTTCAACAATAAGCGCCAGGAAATGGGCGAGGTGTTGTAATCACCGTTGCTGCCCCGGCAGGAAGTGCGGCCCTGTGTAGATAGTGGCGCCTTCAGTACCCCGCGCACCCCTCTGGCTGATAGCGCTGCTCATTGGATATGTATCTCTAGCAAACAGACACCAGAGAATTTGCTTCCACGGGCCTTTCCGCTCATTATGAATATTAATCGGCCGTAATTGATGAGACAAAATCACCACAGTGCTCTGTCATGTTGGAGAGGGTGGGAAGCGGTGGGTGTGCCCATGAAGGTGAGCATACATGCATGCCAAGATGGCTCGGTCCTGGTGCCAGAGGCTGCTGGGAATGAAAAGGGGGTGAGGACAGAGACCAGGAATAAGAAAAGGAGGAGGAAAAGAGTTAGGAAAGAGGCGATGGGAGTGAGGTTGGAGAAAAGGTTTCATCTACTACAGCCAATGCAGTGGATAAAGACCCATATGCCCCCTCCCACAGCCATGGCAGACATCACTAATCTATCGTGGCACTGTTCCCACTGAGTCTGGATGAAGCCTCAGAATCCTTCTCAACGTGGTATTCCAGGTAGCCACTACCAATTGATTGGTTTGCAGGATGCCACCACTGATGCACCTAGGACACGTGAGATAACCTCAGAAAAAGGAGTGCGGAAGGGGTGAGGACTCACCTACCTGTCTCAGCACCTGTGTGGCAGAGCATTCCCCTTCCACAGTTCAACCTCAAAATCCGTGTTAATGGTTCACCATGCTCTGCTGGTTATACTGAGCCTTAATTAGGCCTCAGGGAGCAAGCTCCGACTCACAGAGCATGAGGCACCTGTTGACCTGGGGTTCTACTCCAACTCTTCACCCGCCCTATAGCCACACTCTTTGCCATGTGACTCTGCAGGTCCTCTCACTCAACAGGCACAGGCAATGTCCCTGCTTCTTGAATCTGAGTTCTACCATGTGACTTTCTTAGGCCAATGGGATGTTAGCAGAGGCTTGAAAACTCTGTTTCTGTTTCCTCTCCTGTGCCTCTGCAACTGCCAGAGAAGATGCTAGGGCTAGCTGGCTGGAGGATGAGGCGTGTGGAGCAGAGTTGGGTCACCCAGTCACTCTGATAGGGCAATAGCCAGCCAACCCCATACAGGTGAGAGAGCCCAGCCAAGATCACCAATCTGCAGATTCATATGACAATGCATGCTTATTGTTTCAGGTCATTGGGGCCACCTGTTACGTGGCATTATTGTGACTGTAGGTAACTGATACATTCTAAGCCTGTGGTTCTCAACTGTGGCTGTGTGTCAGAATCACCAGGCAGCTTTTAAAAATCCTGATGCCAGGGTACACCCCATTTCAATGAAATCAGAATACGTGGGGAGTAGGATCTAAAGATCAATATATTTCAAATTGTCCCAAATGATTTCAATAGGTGGTTAGGTTGAGAATCACGGTACCAGGATCAACTTTCTACAAGTGCGATCACTTTATCCTTTTTTTTCCCATGTCTTTGTACTTGTTCTCACATAATTCTCACGTAAGACAGAATGAAGGGCCCTGACTGTGGGGTCAGCGAGCCTGGAGCCAGCTGTGTGAGATTCGGCAGAGTATTAAACTTCCGGAGGCTTCACTTTACCATCTGTAAAACGGGGATAAAACCAGCCACTTTATAGGGTTACTGTGAGGGTCATTCATTTAACAAATATTCCTTAGGCCTGTGCTCTGGGGATGGTTTCCTCCCCAGAGGTGTGCGCCTGTCCTGGGGGAGAGGGTGCTCGGCCCAGGCCCAGAACACAGCAGGCACGCAATGAACAATCGCCACTGTCAATGCCAGGATCTTATCATGCTATTATTATTACGTTTCTCTCCCTAGACTTCACGGTCCCCAAAGGCAAGAACTGTCCATCTCGGCTCCCACTTCCTATAGAGCAGGACGGGCTCCACCCACAGTCGACCTGCGGCCTGAGTGGAGGACAAGGGTGGACTTTCTTCTTTTCTGGGAGTTGGAGAGAGAGTCCCAAAGAGGAAAGCCTGGGCCGGCTCCAGACCCTGAGGGGGATCAGGAGGGCCGGGTGTGTCCCAGGAGGAAGTGCTCCACCCCTCGCCCTCTGTGGAGGTGTTGGCTCCCTCGCTCCTGCCCACAAGCCAGGCTGCCACAACCAACGCCTTGGGCCACACAGAGGGGTCTTTGTTCACGCTGACAGGGCCGCGTGTTTCCCTCCTTGCCGGGTCTCCCCCCGCCTCACCTCTTCCCCGCAGCCAAAACACACAGCCCACGCACACCAGTGGACGCCCAGCCGCACCGGCACACCGGCACCCCCAGGGGCCGCCCACCCTGCAGGGAGATGCCAGGCCCTCCCACGCCCCCCTGGCCTTGCTCCCTGAGCCCTGGGCCTGTAACCACAGGTGACGGCGCCTCTGTGCCTCTTTGGGTTTTTTAAGTGCTCTGAGAGGCAGAATTATTCTCCAGCGGAGAGTGGAGCCAACGCCCTGGGGTTCCGCAGGAAGGCGACGGAGCTGTCCTGGTTCCAAGTCCTGGCATGCACATTCCCAAAAAGCCCCTCGTAAATCAAACTTTCCTCGTCGTGTGGGAGGTCCCCAGTCTGGCTACGTCCCAGGAGAGCCGCAAGAGGCTTCTGCAGAAAGGGCCCTCCTCAGCATTTTGGGGGCTTTGTCTGGCCCCACACTTCCTCTCCCAGGGCAAGCCCCCTCCTTCATCCCCACAGAGCAAGGTGCTCACATGCGGCTGCTGGGCGGGATCTTGCGACCGTCCCGGAACCAGGTCACCTGCGGCCGGGGGAAGCTGGCGATGCGAGGGGCACGGATGACGGCCGCTTCTCCGTGGGAGACGCTCTGGTGCTTCTCGCCCTCCTCAAAGCTCCCCATGTCTGCGGAGAGAAGAACATAAGTAGAGACCAGGGGCTGGAGGTCAGCGGCAGAGATGGCCTGGCTCCTGGGCTGGGAGTGGTGGCAGCAGAAGGAACATGCAAGGCAGGCAGGATGACCATGGGGAAGGGGGACACCACGCTCAGACTGCCCCACGGGACCCCCTCACCCCGTCACCAGCATGTGCCCCACTTTGTGCTTCTGGGGCTTATATCCATTTATATCCATATATTTATGAATCAATTGATTCATTCAACAACCATGAGAGGTTGGTCATTATTTCCCACATTTTACAGCTGGAAAAACTGCTCAAATGGGCTCAAGAGGTTCATTGACTTGTCCAAGGTCACAGGGCCAGGAAGGACAGAGCTAGGCTTTGAACTCAGACCTCAGAGTCTGGACTCAGGCAGAGTCGTCCCTCCTTCCGGGCCCTACAGTGTGGCATGGGTTTAGTTGTGAGGTGAAGGGGCGTCTTGGGGCAGTCTCCTGTGCCCCTGGGGGGAGGGAAGGGTGGGCACCTTCCCTGGAGAGGGTGGGGTCTCACATGCTCTAAATAGGTATGAGATGATTTCCCTCCCATCCTTGGGTGGGAAGTGTGTGAGGCTGCACGTCTGTGTGAATATAAACACCTGTTGCTCTTTTTAAAACAGGCTGACCCCCTTGGCAGATAAGGAGGGAACACTGATCCCAGCTTGGATGTTCTGTCAGCCAGGAGGGGAGCAGAGAGCAGCGGAGACGCAGGTAGGAACACTTCTGGTTTCCCACCTGCCTGCTGGCATCAGGGTGGGGTCTGATTCTAATGGCAGGGGCTTGGAGATGGGGTGTGGGAAGGGATGCCCGTGCGGATCACCACGACTCGTGAAAATTGCTGTACTTCCTGGCTACTCAAAGTGTGGTCTGTGGACCAGCACCATGGGCACACCTGGGTGCCTGTTAGAAATGCAGAGACTCAGGCTCACCCCAGACCTGCTGAATCAGAGCCTGCATTTTAATGAGACACCCAGTGATGTGTGTCCATACACAAGTGTGAGAAGCAATGTTTGTCCTCAAACTTGGCTGCGTGTCAGTGAGAACCACCTACAAAGCTAGAGAAGGCTAATGCCCGGTCTCACCCCCAAATTTCTGATTTCATTGGTGTCGGGTGTGGGCTGACCATCAGAATCCCCATGTGCGGTTAGGATCAGACCACAGACACCTTGATTTCATTTCCCCGTGGCCTGCGCACTCCCTCCCTGACCAAGGGGCCACATCCTCAGCTACCTGGTCTCCTGCTGCTTTGTTATTTCTCGACCCCTCAGATTCCACTGCCCCTTCTTCCTCTCCTTCAACCTGGAGACCCCAACCTGGCTGCACTTCAGAATTCTCTGAGGGCCCTCTAATATTCTCAGAGGTAAGAGCCTTCTGGGGTGGGTGGGACCCAGACATGGGTGTTTCTAAAGCTGCTCAGGTAATTTCAGCATGAGCCCAGGTTGAGAACAACTGTCTGGGCTCCAACCTTACATTTTGGTGGGTCTCAAAATCCCCTGGGAACATGGGAAGCTCACAGATTTGCTCCCACCCTGCCTTCCCCCTAGGGCACCAAAAGGCTCTGCTCCCATGCGCCTGGGTTCTCAGTTCTTGATTCGTTCTCCTGAGGATTCCGCTGCACGTCGACGTTTGAGAACCACTGGCCTCCACTCTCGTTTTCCAGAGCCCTCAGCCTGATTCTCTCCTTGCCCATTCTAAAGATTTTGACCTCAGTCTCTCTACAAAGACGCGCACATCTGCTCTGGCTCTTCCTTGAGCCCCAACACCCAACACCCAATTTCCAACAGAAAACGTTGGGCATTTCTTACACCTCCTCGCCAGGCCCTCCTTCTTGCTTTCTTAGTTCTTTTAATAGCTGCCCCACCCGCACCTGCCCAGATCACCTACCCTCCAAGCCTTGTATTACTTCCCTTTCCTGTCCCCACAAAGGCCTTTGGCTCTTCCTCTGGAATACTGCTCACATTTACCAAGGCCTCTCTGTTCCCTTAGGCCCCACCAACAAGCTAGCCCATTACTCTGGCTGCATTGACTCCTGCCCCACATGGTGCCCTACATTGGATCCTCCCCCATCCATCTTCCACACTGCTCCTGATTAATTTTTCTGACCACATCACTGAGTTGCTCAGAACTTTTGGTATCTCCTCATTGCCCCAGGAAAGCTTAAATTCCTTTGCCTGGATTCAAGGTCCTTCCCTAATCTGACCCCAACCAACCTTTCCTGTCTGAATGCCCACACCAGGACATGTGCTCCTCCTGCCATGTTCAGTTACTTATATCCTGCCTCTCTTTGTGCAGGTCCCCTGCCTGGAATGCCACCAGAACAAGCCACGATTTAGCAAGGCACCATGATTCAACAGCATCCCAGAGGGATCTAGCCAATCAAGTATCTCAAGCAATAAAATCTGCTGTTGGCTTCTTTGTTCTAAATTTGGCAGGCAGTGAATGTAATAGTAGTGGCTTTGGAGTCATTGAGACCTGAGTTCAAATCCTACTTCTGTTACTTAGTGGGTATGACCTTGGGTGAAATTTTGGCCTTGCTGAGCTTGAATTTCCTCTTCTGCAAAATAGAGTTAAGAAGAGTACCTTCCTTACAGGTTACAGTCAGGATTACATGAGATAATACATGTGTGTATCAGGCTGGATCTTTCCAGAGATGGCTGCATCAATATTTATCTCCCATCCAGCATGCCCTTCTCACAGTGCAACCGCCACTGCTCCCATAAGAGGTGGGGCTATGTCCCCTCTCCTTGAACCTGGGGGATTTGTCACTATGCCACCAGTAGCATATGCTGGCAGTGATGTTATGGGACTTTCACAGCTAGGTCATCAAAAGAACACAGCTTCCACCTGGGTCTCTCTCTCCAAACACTCTTGCTTGGAATCCAGCTTCCATGTTGTAAGGAAGCTCAACATGGCCCACACAGACATGGTGATGGCCCACATGCGGAAGAACTGAGGTCCCCAGATGACAGCCAGCATCAACACTGGACATGTGAATGAACACGTGAGCCCTCAGGTAATTCCTGCCTCCAGCCTTTGAGTCTTCCAGCTGAGACCTCAGTCATCATAGAGCAGAGACAAGCCGTCCCTACTGTGCTCTGTCCAGATTCAAGCCTCGCAGAATCTGTGAGCATAATAAATGATTGCTGTGCACCAGTATGTGTTGGGGTAATTTGGTACGCAGACATAGAAACTGGAAGAGAATATTAAAGTGCTAAAAATTCTATCTAATATTTGTAGTTTTAAAGTATTGGAATCCTATACATTTTTCGCAGTTTAGTTTAAATATCAACCTCTTCAACAAAGATTACCCACACCCACCCACAAATAGAACTAAAGAACAAGAACTTGCTGAGCACTGACCCTACGTCAGGTTTCTTTTTAGGTAGATTTCACATACATCTTCTCATTTAATCTGCATAATAACATGACAAGCTCAACTTTAATAAATACACATTTTTTAGTTGTTTACTAATTTCTTTTACTTGGCTCTGTCTATAACAAATTGCACCAATAAATCACATTGATTTCAGTTCTTACAATAATTTTGTCTATTTAAAAAACTTTTCACAGAACTCCAAAGATATATTTGAACAATTTAAAGCAATTTCATGGTAATAGTGTTTCTTCCTCCTTTCTCTAGTTTTATTAGCTCCATCTCGTCAGAGAGGAAATGAAAGCTCATGGAGATGGAGCGGCTTATCCATCGTTGAGCAGTTAGGGCTGGGTAGTGCCAGCATTCAAACCCGGCCTCCCTCTGCATGGCCTCTCCACCTCTTTCATGACTCATACTTGGCATTAAAATTCTTTGTGCACATTCTTTATCTCCTTCTACTACACCGTAAGCTTCAAGAGGGAGTTACATTCATGAGCAAATCCCTACAGGACACCCGGCCTCGTGCTCTGCACACAGTAGGATCTCTCTAAACTCACCCAATGCCATTGTGCAATGAACCTTTACTGAGCCCCTACTGTGCATCAGGAAGGCTCTGTGGTGGGGACTGAAGAAAGACCTGGTCCTGCCCTCATGGAGCTTATAGTCTGGTCAGGGAGATAGGCATAAGCAAACCAACCCACAAACACACATTCATGACATTCTGTGACAACTGTTAAGAAGAAGGAACAGGGATTTCTATGAAAGGCAGGGTCAGGGGAACCTACTTTATATTGGGAGGTGAGGTGAGGCTCCTTTTAAGCAGAGGTATAAATAAAGAGTAGGTGTTAGCTAAGTGTGTGTGTGTGGGCAGGGGGATGATGGTCCAGAGGGAAGAGAGCGTGTGAAGGCTAGGAGGTAGGAGAGAAGGGCTAGTTAGAGGAAATAAAAGAATGCCAATAGGGCAGGGTTGTAGGTTTCTTCATTGGATGGATGGATGTTTGGATGGATGAATGGATAGATGGATGGATGGATGAATGGATAGTTGTATGAGTGGAGGGATGGATGAAGGGAAGGAGAGATGGAGAGATGGAGGGATGGATTATTGTATGTGTGTATGGATGGATAGCTGGATGAGTGGAAGGATGGATGGAGGGAGGGAGGGAAGGAGGGATGAATGGATGGAAGGAGGGATTGAGGGATGCATGTTTGTATGAGTGGATGGATGGAAGGTGGGCTGGATGGATGGTGGGAAAGATGGATGGGGAGAGGGAGGGATGGATGGAAGGAGGGATAGAGGGACAAATGATCGTATTTATGTATGGATGGTTGGATGGTGGGATGGATGGAAGGATAGTGAGATGGATGGATGAAGGAAGGGCACAGCTGGCCTTGGTCCAAGTTTTGCAGTTGATGTTCTCCTCCACCTTCCCAACCCACAATCTCCCCACCTCACTGTGGCTCTCAGGCCCCCAGCACTCTCCCATTCTCTCCACTCCACTTTGTCAAATGGGCTTCCTGGGTCTGCTCAGGGAGCCCCTTGCCTCTGCTCATGGGGGCCAGGGCACACGCATGTCTGTGCTAAACTGCAGCAGTGAGGGG